TCGTAAATAAATTATTTAGTTAGAAAAAAAGAGTTTCGATAATGTTACACCAGGTTATACCTATAAAAAAATATTTTAAACGAGAAAACAAAACAGAAATACTCTTTGTTAGACCGGACCTGCGATTTATCGGCCTTTTTTATATTTTAAATCATATAAGTAATGAATTGAAGGGAGCGTAAGTCTGGGAATAGAGCAACGTTGCCAAAGTGCGTTCAGATGCACTGAAAGTTGTTAGTGTGTTCTAAACCTGAATTTGCTGTTAGGTGTCGCATGGATATCGCTCTTAAGTTATCCTGACAACACTGCAGCAAACAAATACTCGACTATGACTAGACAGAATCTGCGCCTAGTCTCAGGCATTCTGACTGGTCATTGCCAAGTAGGGAAGCATATCTATATTATGGGGCTGTTAGAATCCGGTGTGAACAAGAAGATGAGACCATCGAGCATATCCTTAACGATTGCTCGACGCTCTCATTTATTTTAGAAGATTTGTGTTTGGCGAGTATCGGCTAACACTGGACGATATAACAGAAGCATCTCTTGGCGACGTTGTCAACTACATTGAATTTGTAGGTTGGCTCACGAGCTAGAAGGTGCCTATCATCTTAGGAGGATGCACAATGGACCTATTAAGGCCTAATGTAGATATCGGAGAAACGTGATTTTACTATTAAACACAAAATTCACAAGATAATAAGAACAAGAAGCCTTATCTTAAAGTTGGATACCAGATTTTTTCCTTATAAAAAGTTTATTTAGAAATACAGAGTGATTCTATATAAGTTTTGTTGTGTGTATACGAGGTGGCTAAAAAGAGATTTTTGTTGAGACAACGTACGAATACATACTTATATATTTACAAATTAGATAATTTTATATCTTTGACAAAATATATAATATATTTTAAAGATTTAGATTTATTATTTAGTCTGTAGTTCAAATTTACAGATGAACATTTATAAATTGTAACATACTGGGTGTTCTAAAAATAAAATCTATTTTACTATTTTTCATCTCCTGGTTTTGAAGAACATTTTTAGAACATCCAGTATAATAAACTGGAGGGACAGGTCATATCATAAGATAATCTTTTTCAAAAATAAAATATAGATATTTTTTTTAGTAAGTAAATGTGACACGAAAAGCTAAATTGCTTAGGTACTTGTCTTCTAAGAATCTGTTTCTTTTTGGTAGAATTTTAATAGTTTAAAATTAGAAAAATTTGTGAACCGTCAGTTTAAATTAAAAGAATAGAATCACAGCCATATTTGAATTTTTTGAAAATATTTTTTATTAATCCAAAATACGAAATATACAGATTTAGGAAGGTGTATAGAAATTTAGATGTTTTGTTAATTCACTGGTGTGGTATTTTAAAATTTTGATACAAACAAATTTAATACTTGTTAAAAAATCAGATTCCTAGAATGAATAATTATTTTTCATTATATAGCTTTGAAAATAATTTTCTTTTGTCTACAAGAATATGTTTTGCAATAAAAAATATAAATTACAATTATTACATATTAAGCTCAGTTTTAGCTTTTTACCAAAAGCCAGTTATAAACATTTATAGTGATTTAAACAATATCAAACCCTGTATATGATAAATAAATATGTATTTTTATAGGTATACTTAGGGAAGTTGATTCTTATTCGAGTTGTAATCATATTAAGGTTCTGAATATTTATTTTAGTACATAGGAATCTTATTATCTTAAATTTCTTGAATGCCCTTTAAAGTAATGCGAGATATATTATTTAAATCACCTATAAAATCTAGTCAACATATTCATAGCCTACAAACGTTAAATTTCGTGTATAAAAAGTGATAATTTTCGTGAGACTGTGTATTTTTTTAATCTCTATCTTTTTTTATTTACGAATACGAGTATGTTTGCGTTTTGTTTAGTTATATCGATCTAATTAAATATTTCGAAATCATATGAATATATCGTTTTATATTTTTTGTTTTTTTTTTTATTACAAGATCTGGAATATTTTCAGTTTTTATCTCATCTGTATATAACAGGCTTTTTCAGAAATATTAGATAGTAGTCAGGAAATTACCACAAAGACCTCCGGATTTGACCCGGCTGGATTTGTTTCTATTGATTGTGACGTAGTGGAACGCATCACACATAAACGAACATATTCTGTCAACAGTCATGTCATGTCAAGTGTCACTTGTCAGCGGGTTTTTTGATAAACGTATATACTGATCTGTATTGAATAAATAAAATACTTTAAACAGAGTTATTTATTTCTGTAAACAACGTTACATGGTGGCAGCGGTGGGATACGAACCCAAGCCTCCGAAGAGACTGGTTCAATTATTTTATAAATCAAATAGAGATTTATAAAATAATTGAAAAAATACCTGGAATTGTTTCCTATGCAGATGACATGTTCAAACATGGAAAAACTATGAAAGAACATAATGAGCGGTTACAAGCATTTCTACGGCTTGCACAAGAAGCAAACATGAAATTTAAAAATGACAAGACACAGTTGGCAGTATCCAAAATTAAGTACCTGGGTTATTGGATATCTGAAGAAAAAATAGTAGCAATCTGTGATATGCAAGCACCAACAGACAAAGCAGAACTTCAACGGTTTTTAGGCATGACTAATTACTTGTCAAGATTTTTACCCAATATGTCGAAACAAACAAAAGCACTAAGAAATCTTCTAAAAAAAGACTCACACTGGGTGTGGAATGAAAACCAAGAAAAATGCTTCATGAATTTAAAAATTATGGTATGTAATGCACCAGTTTTAGCAAACTGATGATAATAAAAAGATAATAATAGCTACAGACAGCAGTAAATATACTATTGCAAAATGACCAGGTATTCAGTGATAGAAAAGGAACTGTTGGTCATAGTAGTTTGCCTTGAACATTACCATTATTATATTATATGGCAGAGAAACTACAGCCCTTGATAGGATTAATGAACAAGCCCATTGATGACTTATCACCACGATTGCAAAGTTTAATGCTACGACTGCTGAGATACAAGGTGAAACTAGGATATCAACCAGACAGAATAATGTATTTAGCAGATACTTTATCAAGACTCTAGCATAATACAAAAAAGAAAATTATTGGAGAAACAAAATTATTAGGTACAAACAATAGTTGTAGTCAGCAAAAAAAAATGACAACTGATACAGGAAATTACAGCAAATGTTACAATATGTAAGAAATGGATGGCCCAGAAAAATAAGCAACATGACAAATGAAATAAAATACTATTTTTTAGCCAGATATGAACTATTTGAAAACAATGGGTACGTGTTTAGAAACAAACAAATAGTGATATCAAAATCTCTTAGAAAGGAAATGGTGGAAACTGTGCATGTAGGAGATATGGGTATAAAATTAAACATAGGACGAGCACAAGAAGACTTTTACTGGCCAAACTTAGGATCAGATATATCTTCATTTATGGTATATATAGCAAAAGCAACAATAAAGAACCAATACAACCAACTCCAATAGCAAATTATCCACGGGAAAGAATATCTATGGATTTTTTAAAAGCACAGGACAAGCAATATATTTTGATTGCTGCTTACTTCTCTAAATTTGTTTTAGCTAAGCCAATGACTACAACAACAGCAACTATGTTAATAAACAAGCTGAAACCAATAATATATACACATGGAATGCCGTGACAATGGGCCTTCATTTGACTCGAGGGAGTTTAAAATGTTTCTAGAGGAAGAAGGAGTGACTCATAGTGGAACGCATCACAACCAAAAACGAACACATCCTGTCAACAGTCATGTCATATCAAGTTTCAAGAACTCAAACACAATTTACTTCACAATTTTACAAATTTTAAATGTTTTCGTTGAAAATATAGCACAGTTTCAGAAAAAATGGAAAAAACAATAATAATTTAGTTGGTACATTTACCATTTCCAAATAAATCCGAAAAAACATGTATATACAGGTACAGTTAAAATAAATGTAATAATTCTTCTACCTGCAGGGTGTTCCAGAAAAAAGTGCCATAATTTTAACCACGTATTTATTGCATCAAAACAAACAACTTTTGTCAAATAAGTTTACTTCTAATCGCAAAGTTGCAGACGTTCTGTAATCTCACCCCTAGTATTCAAGACTTTTTATTTTTTCAAAAATTGTAATTTGTTTTAGTTACCCGCCACTGAGTTAAATCGAGAAGTATGAATAAGTAAATAATAGATAAACTATGGAGGGTAGAGGAAAGGAGAACAATCTCTGTATACAAAAAGTGTCCCTCAAAATGTATACAATTAAGATGGCGCTTCTGTGCCCAGGGGACGTCGACAGTCGATAATTCAGATCACACAATGACACCAATGATGTATATAGTAATAAATATTGCTCAACCATAAAAAACTAAAAACTACACCGTGAAAAGTGACTGGTCGTAGAAGAGTAAGTGTTCTGTGATCGTAGATAAATTTTGACAATACACGACAATAGTCAAATTTTATTGAAAAATAATAATATAAACAATAAATAATTCTTATGAATGAGCAATCTATATGACTATATAGCATTGGATTTTGTCCCCTGGCTACACGAGCGCCATCTTAATTGTATACATTTTGGTGGACACTTTTTAATATAAAGATCCATATAAGATTGTCCTCCTTTTTTCTACCCTCCATAAGATAAACAAAAAATGCACAAGGCATGAGGTTAAGGTACTGCCTGATCAAATGGTAGCTTTTCGGTAACATGAAAGCGGTAGAAAGTTCCTCAACGGAATTACGCAAAAATTCTCGAAATTTTCGGAGTTTTTCTGGTTTTCCGCTCATATCATGGAAACGATGCATCGTACGGAAAATATCGTTCTATTTAAAGTTAAAGAGCATAAAATTTTGCGTCGAAAACCTCTCTAACTTTCAAATTATACTGATTTATAAGGTCGCTATCGTCAGTCAAAAAAAGCAAATTTTTAGGAACTTTTGTGAAAACTGCAAGAAATTCACTTTTAGAGATCTGTGATGTGAAAACAGCCACTCTTCGTGAAAAACTGTTGCCGAGCCACTGCTGGTGTAAATATACACGCAACACGCAAGCTATGCTGGTAATCTGCAGCATCGGTGGGAGAGACAGATGCAATGTTACTGGAAAACTTGTAGGCAGATGTCACGTACTGCTTGTATCGCAGCGCATTCAAGGAAGTTGTTAGATGGTTAGCCCCGTACAAAGCCACCAATTTTTCTTCAGCAGCAGCAATTGCCGTTGGCTGGGCTGATGGATCCAAGAATTTCCCAATGATCTCTTTAAGGTTTGGATATTTAGAGAAAGTCTTCAAGAATTTAGTCTTGCCTTGGTTATATAAAGATGACGTCGAGTCGCATTCACTCATCGCGTGCAGAAACATCATGTGCTTGGCAAGATTTTGTTTCACTGCAGACTGAAGCGCTTCAGCAGATAGACGTTTGGAGAAGTTTGATGAGTTGGTGTCAAGGATTCGGCCGTACGAACAATGAGTGAATCTGCATTCTCGTTTGCTTGTCTGCAGGCAATTCCAGCTTCTTCACACTTTAGCATGCTGATTAAGCGACTTTTGTTTTTGGCAATACACAAAAACTTTTCTTGAGACACCGTCGGTATCATTGTATGGCTGAGTGTTTCTTGGTTGATCTCCTCAACCGCTCCATGGATTTTGTGCCTCCGTGGTCATCCGAGTAATCATCAAAAATGATCATAGCTGTGGGACTGTATTTTTCACGTAATTGACGTAAGAATCGCAAATTTTGTCAAACGTATGCCCACTCGACCACACAACCCCCATCAATCGCATATGCTGTATTGCTGGCCAATGGTGTCGTGTCTTGGAGTGGTTCGAAAGCTTTGTACAAAGTAGATTTCGTTCCTTTTCGCAGGTAACCCTGATTAAACAGTGCGGGGGGATATGGAGCCAATTCATATGTTAAGAACTCTTCCAGTTCTTATTGAGATTGTTTGGAAATTAGCATCTTTTGAAACAAAGTGGTTGGCTTTACAAACACCGGTTGGTCATCAATAACTGAGTTGACAGTTGCAAGGGGCTGTACTCGGTCGCTCCTTTTAAACATTACTGTCTTAAAAGCATTGCTCATAATTCAGTTGATACCATCAGTTCCCACTTCCCTGGACCAATGATAATTTATCTTTTTATTTCCCACAATCCCAGTGCTGATCGACATAATTTCTTGGGTGTCTGGGAAAGGTGGGTGTTGCTGAAACCACTCAAACATTTTCTTCATGCAGTTCCTGTCAAGGTTTACTCTTGCATCACGCACACTGTACAATTAAAATTAAAAATAATAGTCGGGCGTGTTAGTCATTTGACCTGTACCAAAAAATGTACAACATTGTGAATCATGTATTAAAAACTTTGCTAGATTTTATTTTAATTATTTCTTTTATCACGGACAGCTCGTTATAGGGTTATTTTAGGATTTACAAATATCAAACAAAATTTGTTTCTAACAAAAATTGTTTGTTTTGATGCTCTAAATATGTGTTTAAAAATATGGCACTTTTTATATTACCCCACAAGCTATTTTTACGAAAATTTCCTTTGTTCTTTAAAATTGTTTATCCTAATTTAAAAAATATAAAACATTGCGAAAAAAAGCAGTACTTCAGACACCAGAACTAAAAATGGATGCCGATAGAACATTACTGAGTGTACCTAAGTACTTATTCGTGTAGCTATAAATTTTATGTATTTGAGTCGCCATTTTGGTAAATAACTCATCTACAGTTCAACCTACAATAAAAGTGATACACATACGTAAATTTCACACATTTTTTACTTAAAATTCTTTTTTGTAATGTATATAGCGCTATAAAATGGCGCCCAACGCATAAAATTGCAAAAATCAAATATAAAAGTTCTGGTTCCTGGAGTACAATTACTACTATGGCACCGTAGGCCAACATTCGGCAGTGTTCACGCATTGTATACAGGGTGGATCGATATTAAAATCGCGTTTTCTTCCAAAGATAATTTACAGTTTTTTGAGAGGATATTTCTTAAAGGATAAGAAAATTGGTTGTATATAAAAAAAATAATTTAACCTCTAATTAATGGCGATTTAAAACCAAAACTACCTGGAGTATTTGCCAAAACGAAAATATATTCTAAAAAAAATGCATATAAATGTAATTTATAGAACAAGATGGTATTTAAAATAGTTACGATTTTCAAAATTTAAATAAAAAAGATCATTATTTAAGGAAAGAGATTCTGCAAAATTAAAATGGCATAAAATTAACTATGCATAATTAAGGATATTTATATATTAAAGAAAATAGTTTTATTATGTTCTTTGGTTATTCTAAAAATTACCACACTATTATAATAAAAAAAAATCGATTTTAGAAATTTTTTTGAATAACGTTTTTGATATTTTTAATTTGAACGACCATTAAATATACAGTGTTTTACAAAAAAAAGAAAAAATTTTCAGAAAAAATTGTGCATAGTCTAAAACCTAAAATACAACTATCAGATATGAAATTTTATGAGACGTATACGAGGTTTGTCAACAAAATGATTTTTGCTTACGAGAAAAGTACCTTTATTTTTGACAAACTTCATATACGACTAATAACATTTAGTATGGCATGATTAAATTTTAGGTTTTAAGTCATGGAGATTTTTTATGAAGAATCTTTTTTTTACTATTTATTAAATTTTACGAAAAAAATTGTGCATGATCTAAAACCTTAAATACAACTATCAGATGTCAAATTGCATAAGTCGTTTGTCAAAAATGATTGTACTTTACTCCTGACCAAAAATTATTTTTTTGACAAACCTCGTATACAACTTATAAAATTTTATATCTGATGGTTGTATTTCAGGTTTTAGATCATACACAATTTTTTATGAACAATTAATTTTTTGATAAAACTAATAATGAAAAAGATTCCCAACTGTATTTTAATAGAAAATTTAATTTTTCTCATTTTAACTAGTTTCATATTACCACATAGCATTCAGTTACCAGAGAGCTTTAGACACTACAAGTAAATTTTGATTTTAGAAAATTTCCCGTAAGCGTTTTTCATTATTTTTAAATTCAATGAACTTTGACTAAATTTTAGCTGAAAATTAATTTTTTCTACTTTAAATAGTTTCGTATTACCACACAGTATTCAGTTACCACATAGCATTCACCTACCACATATTATTTAGTCACTACATAATATTCTGCTACTACATAGTATTCGTCTACTATATACTATTCAATTTCCTCAAAGTATTCGTTTACCATATAGTATTCAGTTACCACATACTATTCAGTTACTACATAGTATTAAGTTCCTATAGCACTGTTGCCACATAATTCCGTTTACTAACATTGTCAATTTAACAGCTTTAGAATAGTGGCACAAAGTATGGAATCTTGAAAAAATATTTAAATAGGACTTTCCCTGAATATCAATTTTAGAAATTTTTCTGTACACTAGTTTGGCATAACCACATAGTATTCAGTTACGACATAATATTCAGTTACCACATAGTAGTCACTACATAGTATTCTGTTACTACATAGTATACACAATATTCGTTTACCATATAGTATTCAGTTACATTCAGTTACCACAACATAGTGTTCTGTCACTACATAGTATTCTGCTACCACATAGTGTTTTGTTAGCCACATTATATTCAGTTAGTATTCAGTAACCACAGTATGCAGTCAATACAAAGTATTCCGGCTACAACATAGTATACAGTGATTACATAGTATTATGCTACCACATCTTATTTTGTTTGTAACATTTTATTCAAAAAGCACATAGTATTTGTTTACCATATAGTATTCAGTTACCATATAGTATTTAGTTAACTAGTACTCTTAATAAAGCAGCTTTAGAATAGTGGCACAATATAATAAATTTTGAAAAAATTGATAATTATTTCAAAAGGACCCTCCCTAAATATATTGAATATAGAACTGTCATGAAAAAATTTGACTATGGAAATCTGGCGGTTGGGAATTATGTATTTAAATTTTTGAAACCGTCAAAATATTGTTAAATAAACCTGTTTTACAAGGCTAAAACTTTTAGAAAATATTCTTTAAATTGTTTTATAACATAATTAGAACTGCCAGACGATTCTGGCGGTTGCTAGTGCCTGCCAGACGAGTATAAAGGATGGACCTTCTCTTATCTTCGTTATTAATTGAGATATCGGAATTAAATTTTTTGTTTAAAAATTTGTAGTGAAAACTTTATTATAACAGATTTAACTAGTCTTTGAGGTTATGGCGTACTTTAAAAATTAAAAATAAATTAAGATTTACGATTATTTTCGGAAAAACCATGACGTCACACAGTAATTGAATCAGTTACAATAAAGTTCTTTCTCCAAATTTGTAAATTAAAAAAAATCATTCTGATATCTCAAATTAATTTTTTTGACAATTCTCTATTTTGCTATAGTCATGTTAGTTACTTTTTACAAACACCCTGTATTTCTGATATTTATTATAAATAGCTGATTTTAAACTTAAACGCTTAATTAATTTCAGATCCGTAATAACGATGCACCCTGTATACGCTATTTTCAATTACCTAAAATTTCATATTATAATTTCGTATTTTTTATTTTTTACCTTAAAATATTATTTGAAATAAAAACGATTTAATTATAATAATTCCTATAAATAAATAATATCAATAAGAGTATAATTTTTATTGTTCAATTAGTAAAAATGCTTAAAAAAATGGATATGTGTCTAATATTACTTTAAGTCTCGAATAGATATTATTGTTAATTAATAAAATAATAATTATTACAAAAACGTTAATCCAAAACAAAGATAATTAGCTATAATTTGTTGAAGAAATTAAAGATTTCCTTTACATTAGTTTTATTATAATTACAAAAACATAATTTGTTTTGTTTCGGTATTGAATAATATTCAAAGTTATCTTCAGTAAAAGAAAACGATATGCCAAGAGGTCAAACGAATTAGAATAAAAGTTTATTATTAACATATATATTTTATACCATAGATAAGTTGATAACCCCTAGATGATCTTTTAAATTTAATAAAACAATAACAATATAATTCTTAAAATGAAATCCTTTGAGAATATCATTTAATTAATAATTTTTTTATCAAATAAATATGGCATTGTTTAGAAATTAAATCATTACCTACAAAACATTTTGTGTACAACTTTTAAAAATTTAGAATCTTAATTTTTGCTTACGTCAGTTTGTTGAATTGAAGAAAATAACATCAATAACAATTTTTAAATTTACTAAACTATTTTTCAAAATTTTAAATTCGAAATATTCCACTTAAACATATAATAACATAACAGTGTTAAGTATCAAATTTTCATAGAGTTGTACCTAAATCATCGAGATACTTACAATTTTTTTTTTTTTCACTTCTTTTACCTAGATATAGGTATAAATTTTGAAAAAATGTTATCACATTTCGTAGATATTCATTGTTGTATCACAGTGTTGCTGATATGCAACAATGATATTTGATCGGTAAAAAATAGTTTACCCAAAGATCTGATTTACAATTTACAAAATTTGATAGCTGCACGTGAGCGGCACGTGTTACATACTGTACTTTTTCTACGACTGCCTCTCATTTTCTCCATTCTATAAATTTGTTCAAAGTAGTTTAATATTTCTTTGAATTCGCTGAAAACTCAAGTTTGTCTGGTCATATATTCAGAAGACTTATTAACTGACTATACAAGCAATAGTCAAAAATATTGATTCCGATTTACAATTTCCAACAATGTCAAAAATTATACAGATTTTTTTTATTAAGTATGGTCATACGTAAAATATTGTAAAGCACTGTGTGTGTAAAAGCATCATTTAACATATTAATACCATTAGACGATTTTTGAATATCTCATAAATGCTATTAATCTGCATTAACCCTCCTTTAGACCTTAAAAAGTACCTTTTTAAAAGTTGTACACAAACCCCATCCTTTTTTTACATCTAATATTCAGCTTTACTTTACGCTGACAGTCCTCCAATAAGTTGTTTAACAACTAAAATAGTAAATAACGCTATTACGATCCGAGCTGGACGTTTGACAGTGTTGCCGTCATTGCACAACGAACGTGTGCAGGAGCAGTAGAAAATTTCGACGTCTTTCGTTCCTGTTCTTCTGAAGCAGTTCTTGTCGTCGTGCTTGTCTTGTATGTAGCCGCAAGTCCGGATGACACGAGTTTTACCTTGAACTGGAGAAAAAATATTAATGTAACTATTTGACAATAATTTAATTTGGATATATATATGCAGTGAGAAAATAGTTAAAAATTCACCTGTAATATTTACAGTTAATAAAAATTAAAAAAAAAATAGAAAATAAAAAAGAAAACGAAAACAAAAAGGAATAAAACAACACATTAGGTAATAGAATTTGTAAATGTAAAAAATGAACAATATCGGCAAAATTGGCAAAATTGGCAAAAACGACAAAGTCGGCTGAATGTTCGTAGTCATGCAATCCAAAACAAAAAAAAATGCAATTTTTATTTTGTACAGTAAACAGTGTAACAATTTCAGATAAATGGAAATTTCTGAAAAGCGCCAGCTGTCTCGAGTTGAATTTTAACTGATCCAGATAAATTGGTTTTGTTAATTGCTCTTTAGATGAACAATACATTTGTTCTAGTAAAAATGTTACCTGAACTATATACGTTTAACTATTTTACAAATTCAAAGTATATGTCTCAGATAAATTATTTAACAAAAAACACAAATCAGCTAGCTTTTGGATTTTTTTTAAACATTTAGCAAGAAACGACATCAAATCACAGTCAAGGAGTTCTACGCAGACAATGTCACTGCCACCAAGTTTTGTGTAATAGAAGTCAGCTGTTTATTAACCATAGGGGTGTGAAATAACCATCATTACAAAGTTTTGTGTAATAGACTAGGTCAGCTGGTTTTTAAACATGCCATTGTATAATGTATTTACCATTGGGTACGAAATAATGGTACAGAATTAGAGTTTGATGAATAACATGCGAAATTATTTATAGGTATACAGGGTGTACCAATAAAAACTCCCAGGCCGGATATTTTGATAAGTAATAGAGATATTTTAATTCTGCAAAAGTCAGTTCATAGAGCGCTAGAAGGAGCTTCATTTTTAGATATAAATTAATTTGAAATGGGTTAATATGTAGATGGCGTTGCATTCAATTTTTTTTTTTTCGATGGGAGCCCAGACAACACACCAAATCCCAGAGATATCCACAGAATATATTTTGTGGATATCCAATATATCCACAGGATATCAGAAATATTCCGTGGAACTAATATGGATATCCAAATGTCCGTCTATATCCAGAATATAGAAGATATCCTATGGATATTCAGCAAAATATCTAATGAGTATCTCCAGACAATACAAGAAATCCCAGATATATCCATAGAATATATTTTGTGGATATCCAACCAAATGTCCGTCTATATCCCAGGATATAGAAATTCAGATAAATATTTTATAATTATTTTTAGTAGAGGTTCATAAGTAACCAATTGTTATTGAATAACGTCGAAAGAAAATAGAGGTAAAAAATATTCCCAACAATCTGCCTTTGATTTTGCCTACTATGGAGAAAATCATCCTTATTTCCTTATTAGGAATCTTCAGCAATAAATGGAACTTCTCGACTTCACTCTCTAATGAAGTCTGTTTGTGAAACAATGTCGATCAAACTCAATTACGGCGGGTTAAGCATGAGTAGATACGAAAGTGGTATCGCCATCTATACTTAGGAAGCAAAATCAAAAATTACATCTAGTAGATATCCACGATGGTTTGCGTCCGCGCTTAGACTTTGATATATTTATATTTATAGTGGATGTCCATGGGATATTGAATACACCTTAAAAAAATTAATTTTAAATATCTCAACGGTACTATTAGCCACAATGGCGAGTACAATGGCGTAATTTTTTAATAATTTGCTATATAATTACAATTATTTATGGACATTTGCATGTCTATAAATTACATTTCATGGATATAAAATAGATATCCACCATGGACTGGACATTCAGTGGATATTGGGATGTTCAGTAGATATCCAAAGGATTTGGTGTGCTGTCTGGGAGGATCTTTCTTGTGTATCGCATCTTGTGAAAAAATATTGTATGTACACATACAGCTTACATTTCAAACATATTCTTATAATATTGTACTTTTAATCTTTTATGTTAATTTCCTTGTTTTATTGGGTAAATTTCGTCTAACCTTTGTTGAGTTAAAACGTGTGTTATTTTAATCAATTAAATTATTTTTAAAAACCCTGTATCACTTTCAAAATACTTATTTGGCGCAGTCAGTAGGATTCGCGAGGTCGCGGAAAAACTGTGGAAAATCGATACTTGAGAAAAAAACAGTTACTTTTGGAATTTAGACGTTTCAACATCATGATCGTGAATTCAATAAACCAACCCTGTAGCAGATTCAGGCGGCAGACAGAAGGTCAAGAGAGAGAACTGGTTCCTTAAACCGTCGAGGTAAGTGCCAAGTTCCTTTTGCCTTCCTTAAATCCCTTGAAGTTCATCTTACTTCCATGTCCCATTTTTCTGCAGAGCCTCGTACTCTTGCTCCATGGCCTTTTTCCAAACTACCTGATTTGGTCCAAACATTGTTTGTTGAATCGTTGTCAGTTCATCAATATCCACAGACGTGAAGTATGCGATCTCAGAATCAATTATAGACTCCAGGAGTTTACCTATTTAAGAAACAGAAACGCTATTTGACTCTGAAACCTTACCTACTTCACCAATAGACGACAGACTTTTTGTCTCCAAAAATCTCACCTATTTCCGTAATAGACCCACTTCTTGACTCAACAATCTCACTTACTTCAGCAATAGATTTCGACTTTAGAACCTCATCCTCGCTAGTTTCATCAGTTGGTTACTGTAAGATATCAGCTGGAAACCGCATTTCAAGGTCAACATCTATTCGAGCTGAATGATATCCTTTTGAAACATGTTCTCAAAAAAATTACATCTCGTGCAATTACCATATCCCTTGGCTTTTCAGGATCAAGAGGTCTATAAGCCTTGGATGTTTCACTATATCCAACGAATATGTCCCTTTTCTGTTTTGGTGTGTATTTGTAGGCGACACACCCGAAAACCTTAAAGTGACTCAACTTTTTTATCTGACCACACCTCCATCGGTACCTTTCCTGGAACAGCTGCCGTAGGACTACCTTTTTTTGAAATAAACTGCCGTATTTGCAGCTTCAGCCCAAAAACACTTTTCTGGTACAGCATCACACATCATGGTACGTGTTTTGTCTACAATTGTTCGATTAGTACGCTTTGCTACACCATTCTACTCAGAGGTATAAGGAACCGTCCTTAATAGTCATCTATAAAAACAAGCATATAACGGGAATTACCAAACGAAGCCTGACTCATTGGACCACAGAGATCAGGACTAATTCTAATGAGATAGTAGTTTTTCTCTTGGCTTTTTTTGAAAATGACGATCTAGTTTGCTTACCTTATAAGCAAGAAATGCATGACTTTATGTGACGCTCTGAAAAAATTGGCTCAAAATTTTAATTTTTACGTATTGAAATCGTACCTGGCCTCTATAAGTTTCATATATCTTTTTGCATAATAAAAACAGTACATCTATCACGAAATTAATCGTAACAACTACTACTATAGTATGTAACTAAATGATATCGACATTACCTGGGAAATACAATTCTAACAATAACCAATTAGTGTAAATAAAAATCTAGTTTCTTACCTTTCTGCACCATTTTCCTGCAAAGTGTCGGTTTCAGCTTCTGATCAGGATCAAACGGATCAACCAGGTGTTCGGGTGTCGCCCTGTCGCTGCAGTTGATGATGCCGATTGTGTAAGGATTAAAAGGATCTCCGCATCTAGGATCGAACTCCGAATTGCAATCATAACACTGAAGACTGTTTCCTTTTTGTTCTAAGTCCAATCGGTTGTAGAGGAGGTTGTTTTGGATTGGATATGGGTATTCGTCTTGCTGAGCATTACCTGAAAAAAAAAACAATATATTTCAAGGATTTTCTAAAAAGCTGGTTTTAAAAGCTTTATAAAGTGTAACATTTTTCATAATGTTGCGGATTTAATAAAAGATCAAAAAAGACATAGAAACAGCTTTTAAAAAATGATGTAGTGGGCTTAATTTTTATGTCGACATTTTTACCAGTAATAAATCTATTTTAGGAAGAAAAATGGTACAATGCGTCGCGTGTGCCGTATCCAAAGAATTATTTAGACCATTAGTATTGACCTATTCAAGGCTGTGGACTTTAAAAGTGCTATTGAAATGAGTTAATGGTGACCTGGCCTACTCATAAAATTATAATACTCTTATAATCCTATTTATATCTTCGAATAAACCTATGCAAAATGAAGGAATATATAGAATTTTTAACAATACCCGTATCGCATATGATAAAACAAGAAATTAAATTAAAATTGCCTTTTTTTAGTTACTTATTGTCAGTTAATTGTTCTATTAAACATGTCAATGAAATTGTTTTTGGGCACGGTAGACTATTAGATAAATCGAATCTCATTATTTAAAAAACAACAAAAAACGTGGAAAAATTGATCAGGGTTACGAGTAAAAATCCGGTATGTTAGCTAATGTATTTACTGCAACAGTGTTGCCAATTTTCGTCAAAAGCATGAGACACAATCAAGACATTGGTTTTAGATTTAGACGAGTTTAAAATAATGCTGCAATTTTGATTGTATTATACTGACAGAAATTACGTAAAATGAGGCATTGAGTAACTAGTTTTCAAACTATTATAATGTAGTAGGGGAAGGTTGCCTAAAATGGGATACGTGGGTAAAATGGGATAGTGCCACTCACAGATTAACTAAATATGGCAACATTGTGCCATGACGCCAGAATTGTGCGCGTCGCTAGGGTAAAGGCTAACGACAATGAGAGAACATTGGCTAATGAAGTGAATGGTTTTCATTTTTTTATGCCAGAATTGTAAATTTTTAATGTTATATCTTAAGATCTGAAAGCTAGCAGGAGTAATATATCAATCGTTTCCAGTTACCTTTGTGTAGAGTATGGTCTTGGTTTTCATTGTTCTTCTAGCATTTGCTTAAAAAGTGACAACAAAAAATTTGAGATTAGTTTAAATACTTTAAATCAGGTGTGGGTAAAATGAGAAATTAGTATTGTGTGTAAAATGGGGTATCCCGTTTTACCTAAATCAAATGAGCGTAGTTTATTTTATTCTATTTTTTTTTAGATGCCACGCGTTTACAAAAGAAAGACTGATCGGCAATCGTGGTCCGATGAGTCAATGGCTAAAGCTTTAGAGGCCTTAGGAAACGGCACTTGTGGGTATTTAAAAGCTGCAAAAAAAGTATGGAGTGCCAAAATCTATTTTAGAAAGGAAATTTAAGGAGAACAAACGTGCCACTGGTTCTTCTAAATCGCTTGGGAGTAGAAAGGGTACATTTCCAATTGAATTGGAACAACAGTTAGTCGAGTATGTTAAGAACATGGAAGGTATGCTGTTTGGATTAACAACAAGAGGTCTAAGAAGCCTTGCTTATCAGCTTGCTATAAAAAATAATATTGTTCCCTACTTTAATAACACAAAACATGGCTGGATGGCATTGGCTTCGTTCTTTTTTAAAACGTCACAATCTGTCAATTCGATTACCTGAAGCTACCTCTGCCGCACGAGCTAGGGGTTTTAACAAAGAAGCAGTGTCATCATTTTTAATATTCTTGAGACTCTTCAAGAAAAAAATAACTTTGCTCCAGCCAGGGTCTTCAATGTGGATGAAACAGGCATAACGACAGTTCAGGGTCGTCCTTCAAAACTTTTTTTTTAAATAGGACCAAGCAAGACTTAGCAGTACCTATCAAGAACTGGCAGTAGATGTCAAAATGTAAAAAGTGATCAATTTTAGATTTGTCAGTTGCTCAATGCAATATTTAATATTGACCAAAAATTCTGCTGCGATATTGCATAACTATTGGCTATAAAACTTTATTATAATGAAAATCTGTATCGTAATAAATGTCGTTAAAGCACAGGTATCTAGTGAATATTTAATAAATTAATGAAAGTATAAGAGTAGAAAAAATTATTTTAATGCAATATAATTTGCTTTTCTATCAATTATATACAAGAACTTTTTTATAACGTATTTTTAATTATATATGTGTAATTAAATTATTTTTGAAATTATTTAAATGAACTTTTATGATAAATATAAAATTTTAAGAACTATCTATTTAAATGTGAAAATCAATAAAAATGTTTTGAATAATTCCAAATGTACAATTCTTTCTCTTAATATAAAATATATCGATTCGATTCCAAAAGACACTAAACCAAAATATAATCCAATTCCATATCCACCTTACATTTGAGGTTAGCCAGAATATCGATTTCACCCAATACCCGCAAAACACGGTAACCCATTATATAACCGAGAATTTAATCAATTATACTATTATATAAAATAATCCATTATATACAAAAAGCCATACAATTACGCTACGATTTAAATTTAAATACGTATCAAATTAATACACTTACATAAAACTAGAAAAAATCCTATCGGAATTATTATTGCACTTTTCGTCCAACTTAGTCGCTCCATCTCGGTGGTTCACAGCACCTCATGCACCAGAAAATTCAAAACTATCAATTTAAATTTTTTCGACTTTCGAGATATCTATCTAAACCCCGCTCACTTTGATGTCCGTTTCCGACATTTGCTGAAGCGCTCGACGGTCTTGTGACGTCATATGCCCCCACTTCGGCGGTGTGACGTCATCGAGCGCCGGATCGATGCTGGTGCCAGCCGGTGCGGCATTTCGCGGCGGTGACAACTGACAGGGTTGGAGGGTTGGGCTTTTCCGCTTTTCACGTAGATGTTCGAGATTAGGAGGCCGTTGAGGTAAAATATTACATTCCGGTGTATTTGGGTTAATAAGGATGTTTTTGTGTAAGAGGTAGGATACGTTCTAGAGGTTATTCGAAAGGTATTTAAGAATTATTACGTGGTGTTTGTGGAACTGTCTTGAGTTGGGAAATATTTCTAAAGTAGGCCTAAGAAAAATTCACGCATGTCAGAGCGTTCTTCATTTTAGGTGTCAGTTTGGATTTAATTAAGAGGCGTACGTAGTTATCACGGACTTGACTCGTGTCTATCTTTGTTGGTTATGACCTACTTTAGAAACATTTTTTTGTCTCATTACTTTTTACAAGAACGGAGCGGAACTATATTCGTTTTTTAACAGAAATATGATTTCCAGAAGCATTCAGTAAATGAGCTGTAACTTTCTAAGGAAAAAGTAGTCAGTCTATTAACTCAACATCAATTATCATCTTGACCTAAAATTTTTTCTAACAGTATCCCATCGTGTTGTTCTTGGTCTGTATTTCTTAAATTCATTCCAACGCTTTGCACAAATCCATGTGAAAACTACAGACAGTTGGGATTAGCGCGAGCAGGAAACGAATATCAGCGTTGTCACTTTAATCGTGTTGGCCGAGCCGTATAAACTGGCAATACGTTAATATTATTCGTTTCCTGCGCGCCCTACTACTAAATCTCTATAGTTTTCACATGCTCTTTTGCAAAGCGTATTGGAAAGTGTTCGATAGCCGATACAGTAGGTAGCTTCTAAAGAATCGTATCTCCAGTTTTATATTAAATAGAGTACATTCACTAAAATATCTAAAGCTTATATTTTTAGTGGTAGAAAATCGTATCTCTATAAGTAGGTACTAGTTCTTGATACATTACGTTTAGAAAAAATTATATTTTCATTTTTTAAAGAGGCAAAAAGTCATATGTCCAACTTTGGGTTTAATTTTTACCCAAATCTATAAGATTGGAGATAAGGTTTTTTACCTCTAAGGAATAGAATATTTTTAATTTGAAGGGAAATATTTCGCTTTTCAAAAGGGTCTAGGGTCTAGATAAATGAACATTAATTACACATTTTTTCTTAAACACATGCTAAATATATTCCAATACACAAAAACTAAACCCAGAGAGCACAAAAAATGTCTTTTGGACATCCATTTAATGTATTTTTTTTTTTGTAGTGGAGTGTACAAACTTTTGAGCATTCAGAGGACATATTTTATTTATTAAATTACAAACTTCCGTCTAATTACTAGAGATACATAATTTTCGTTTTTACGAAATAGAAGCGATAGATGCGAAATTCACGTAATTTATGCGATAAATACGAAATATAATATTTTGTGTATTTAATACACACGAAATTTCGAAAAAAACATTTTTAAAGGCAATAAAAACGTGAATTTTCTAATATTACGAGCTTGGATAAATTGTCTTCACATATGAGATCCAACCCAATAAATGATTCCTACCTACACATTGGCAAATTATTTTGCCCATCAGTAGCAGCGGCCGTGACCCCTTCGTCTCTGGACACTAACTCAACATTAGAGAGCATCTCCAGAATACCATTTTCCAGGGATGAACTCTTAAGTGGATATGCTCATTTCCATAGACAACTCGTCAATTTTACAAATGGCTTGGAAAGGTTGGCCAAAAAATAACGAGGGATTTCCCGTGGAAATCTCACCCTATTTACAAAGAAAAAATGAAATAAGTTGCTATCAAGATTGCCTGTTATGGGGTACCCGGGTAATTATCCCACCAGAGGGGAGGAAAAGAATATTGGAAATCTTACATTCAGCACATCCCGGTATAGTTAAGATGAAAGGACTAGCTCGCTCATACGTGTGGTGGCCGAACCTGGACAAAGAAATTGAAGACTGCGTCAATTCTTGTCATGAATGTCAAGAGGCAAGAAAAATGCCAGATAAAGCACCACTGCACCCCTGGGAGTGGTCACGTGCCCCATGGACACGTTTACACGTGGACTTTGCAGGTCCCACAGACGGAAAATACTTCCTAATAGTCATCGACTCGTTTTCAAAATGGCTGGAAGTCCGACAAGTTCCCACTACATCTTCTATAGTGACTATAATGGTTCTCAGGGAATTATTTGCTACTCATGGGATACCTGATGTTTGCATATCGGATAATGGAACTTGTTTCACGTCGTTGGAATTTAAGGAGTTTTTAAAAAACAATGGCATTCGCAAAGCTCTTGTGGCACCTTACCATCCTAGCAGCAACGGTCAAGCTGAACGCATGGTACAAAATGTTAAAAACGCTTTGAAGAAAACGACCGGGAAAAATATTTCCCTCAAACTATCTCGCTACTTGATATCTCAACACATATCACCTCATGGAATGACGGGTAAATCTCCTGCGGAGATCTTGATGGGTCGAAAGTTAAATACACTGCTTGATAAAGTTTATCCTGATTTTTCCAAAGAAATGGTAGCAGGAAAAACAATTGCAAAACAAACCAGTTAGATCTTTCGTAGAAGAAGACCCTGTATTTTGCAGATCTTTTGTCCCAGGCCAAAAATGGTTACCCTCTACTATTGTAGTTACATAGTGGCCACACCCGATGGTAAAATAGTAAGAAGACATACCGATCAATTGCGAAATAGACATACGCCTTCCGTTCAGCTGAATAAACCTAGTGTACCAGAAATAGAGCCCAACGAAGAGGCTGAATCCGAGGTACTTAATCCAAGCGCCTCCATGACGCCTGAGGCTTCTCCTGTGATTGATCCTGTGGATTCTATAAGACGACCCGCACGTATTAGACACCCTCCAAGATGTTTAGAACATTTCATTCCCTAGGTATATTCAAATCCAAGGAGGAGGAGTGTTACGTATTAGCTGGAAATCTGGCAACCATGTATTTGTTTTAGCGCTTTTGACAGCAGTCATTTTCATGTCTCTTTTTTAGTCTGTAATTTGTTGCACAGTTGTTCTGTACTTTACAGGGATTAAAGTGTGTTAATCTCGATGATTGTTTTAATTCCAGGTAAAATTAAGGTACAAGACTTTACACCAAAACTGTACAGACAAGTGCATTAACTCATCAGCATTCAGCTTAAGCTCGCCTCTCTTGAGTGCCACAGGATATATGCAACAATGAAGGTACTGTTAAACCTCAGAACCTCACGCCACTCAATATCATGTCCGTCATTCACAGGTCAATGCAGGGACAAAACCCAAAAAGCCAACTACATATAACGCTGACCATATGAGGCTATACCATCAATTAAAAAAGGATAAGGTTCTGGGATGTCTACTGATATAGCCATAACTAGGTACAAATTTAAAAGACATTTTCAAATTTAAATATTAGCCCGAGAATACTGGAACAAGCATTCTATATAAACTGAACTCGTCAAGTCAAAAACAACGATTTCTCTGAGTCTAGAAGAATACGCAACGGTGTTAAGGAGAAATAATAAATCAGCAAGTATCAGGCAAAACTATTGCCATCTACTCCGATAGCCAAGCAGCTCTAAAGCCAATTCTCTTGCCAGAAATCAAATCGCGACTAGTGAAAGACTGCCTAGAAGACCTGACAGAACTAAGTAGTCAAAACAAAGTGACCTTAGACTGGGTCACACGGCCACAAATGATAGCAAGGCAATGAAAAGGTCGAGAGGGCTCAGACAAGGCCATGACAGGCCCTGATCCCCTCTGTGGAGTTGCTATATAAAGCATTGTGCAAGGAATCCATCAAACAATCGATGTCTAAGAATCAATGTTTCTGTTTTGTATATTTTAAATAAACATGTATATATTTAAATGTCTTTTTCGCCTAATAAAAATATTTATGAAACAAAACTAGAGTACATTTCTGAAATATTGCTATATAATATTTCTGAAAGACGTCAAATTTTTATTTTAAAAGTATTACTGTGAAATATTAAATTTACAGGATATTTTTACATTTCAGGCACATTTCAGAAATGTTTCTGGGACGTTTTGTAATATTTATACATTACAAATATTTCAATGTAACATTTTTGAAATATTTCTGAAATGTTTTTGTGCTGTATGGGTAAGTCTAATAAAAAAAATCAAGCTATACGATATGCTTTAAACCGAGTCCTACAATAGATCTGACAAGATCGCTGTGAACAAGTACAAAAAAAGACTGATTGCCAATTATTTCGCCAAAACTACTAATTCCTCAAAACTAGTTACTCTACATTTCAAAACTAAATTTATCTGCCATCTATTGATAAGTATCATTACTTCGTTTTCAAATTAAATAAAAATCTTTTAATCTCAAGCCCAAATTGGTTTAAAAATATCATAAATAACAATGATAAAATATGTAATTACTTATAGTTTTTGAAGTAACGATTATAATCACATTGTTTATGTTTTTACTAATTTAAAATAATGAATAAACTTAAATTTTTGATTGCCATCTATCCGTAGGTAGCAAAAGCAAACAAGCCCTTACTTTCTGTATCATTAAAATTTAAAATTCTGCATATAGATGGCGTCTAATAAAAATAGGGTTAGAATTTTTGATTTTGTTGTCTTTTAATTTTTGGTTTCTCTTGTTAACTTTTGAGATACGTAAAGATTTGCGAGCGTATTTGAAATTTGGGTTTCTCATAAATATGCCATGGATTTAGCATCTGGGTCAACCTCCACAGTACCAGAAAATTTCAATTCAAAAACCAGAAATTTTGCAATATTAGTGAATGATCAACACACTGAAATTTTGCTAACTCACTTTCCAAACTATGTGAATTTGATAGTAACACAATTTGGCAAAATCGGAAATCTCTACCAAGTGAAAATCGATCAACCAGGAAACGGATTAGCAATAGCAGAACCTGTTTACAGCATTTCTACTGTACTTGGAGCTGAAAATATCCAAGCTGAGGTGGCAGTAAGGTATTTGAGTGAAAAATTAAACATTAAAAAACCTTTATTAGTTTGTTTAGCCTTAAAAGATTACAGCAGAGATAGTTTGAATATTATAATCGATAGTATTTCAAATTATGGCACTACAAAGAATTAAAAAGGCTGAAAGCCATTTCGGTCAAGTGGTAATAGGCCCTCCAGGATCAGGAAAAACCACTTATTGTGCAAAAGTTTACAATTTTTACAAAGACAAACTAAACAGAAAGGTAGAAATTGTAAATTTAGATCCAGCTAATGAAAACATGAATTATACTCCAAAGATCGATATCATGCAACTTGTAACAGTAGAAGATGTGATGAAGGAGCTGAATTTAGGCCCCAATGGAGCTCTGATGTACTGCATGGAGTATTTAGAACAGAATTTCGATTGGTTATTGAATCAGCTCACAAAAATTAAAGACAGATACTTAATTTTCGATATGCCTGGACAGGTTGAATTATTCACTCATCACACTAGTATTAAAGACGTTTTTGGGAGGTTGGAGAAGTTGGGGTACCATTTGTGTGCTGTGCATTTGGTCGACTCGCATTATTGTTCTGATCCACCTAAATTTATTTCAACTTTATTGCTGTCTTTGTCTACCATGCTGCAAATTGGGTTGCCCCATGTCAACGTTCTTAGCAAAGTAAGTTTAAAAATATTTAGAAATCTTTTGAATAGATGTTTAGTGTGTATTCATTGGGGATACCTCAGAGGTCTATGATAGGGCCCTTTGTGACTAGGGTTGGAAAAAAACTTAGATTTAAAAAAAAATTATTCTTTCCCTTGAATTCGTACTATTATAATTAAAATTGATAAACCTAAATTATTTATATTAATTAAATAGATTAATATATTTAAATATAAAGAAATAATAAATTCTAAAGATAGAAGCATCAATAATAAATGCTTGTGATTTAAAATAAACCTAATAGTTCCAGATATAAATATATAATAACAGTATTGTTTTTTAAGGTTTTATAGGTTTTTTGGAGATTTTTAGTTCATATTGTCATATTGGAGGTGAAACATGCTAATAAGAAAATAGGTAACTAAGTATAAAACTTTTTGGTTAAAACAACGATTTAAATCTAAGTTATTTATTTACTGAATAAGATAAAATTTGGTACAAACGAAAACACGTCTTTTATTTGAAGATTGATAAAAAAGAAATGTAAAAGTATACCGCCTAAACATGTCTTACCATTGAGAGAAATATATGTACTTTCACTGAGCCTCTTTCACATTCTTTAAGATTATAATTATAGTTCAGTAACTGAAGGGACCAACCTGTCATTAAGTCGGTCCAGATTTCCTTTGTGGCTCAACTCTTAGGTCTCGGCGGTCGCTTCCAAGGTCGAAAACTTTTACCAACTCTGCTGCGTCGAAAAGGGTCCAAAATGGACCCTAAAACTGGTTTCCCACCAATATCTTCCACAATATGTAAATTAGAGAATTTTTGTTTAGATAAAAAAGAAAGATCTTATCATTATCTACAAAAATGGTCCCTATCATTTTTGTCGGGAATTCGACAGGTTTTGAGATAACCGCAATCAAAAGTCCCCTTTATCTCTATAGCAATGCTGATTAGCTTGTAAACGGGTGGACAAATTGTTTCAGAACTCGGTCAAAAATTGATATTTTTCGATGATTCAAAGTTCATTACAATGGGAAACCCCATAGGTATCGATCAATGTGCCTTGAAGCCCGTTATTTCCTGTCAAGAACATTGAAAAAGGGGTCAAAGTTGCGTTTTCCCACTATTTTGGACCATTTTATAGTAATTCATTCATATTTTTTTCTTTTAATAGTTTTTTATCCCATTTTTGTTTTAAATGGGATCTTGAGATGTCTCAATGATCTCAGAAAATTTTTTCCAGTATCTTTCTGGCGTTTTAAAACAAAATTGATTTGTTTATTTGCATTTTTCATACGTTTTTTCGGAGTTCTTGAAATCTCTGAAACAAGCAGTAATTAAAAACTCATATTTCATTAATTGTTATTCAATGCACACCATTGCTTTAAAGCTTTAAAATGGTGTGCATTGAATAACAATATAATGAAATATGAGTTTTTAATTACTGCTTGTTTCAAAGATTTCTAGAACTCCGAAAACGTATGAAAAATGCAAATAAACAAATTAATTTTGTTTTAAAACGCCAGAAAGATACTGGAAAAAAATTTCTGAGATCATTCGAGACATCTCAAGATCCCATTTAAAACAAAAATGGGATAAAAAACTATTAAAAGAAAAAAAAAATAATGAATGAATTACTATAAAGTGGTCCAAAATAATGAAAAAACGCAACTTTGACCCCTTTTTCAATGTTCTTGACAGGAAATAACGGGCTTCAAGGCACATGGATCGATACCTATGGGTTTTCCCATTGTAATGAACTTTGAATCATCGAAAAATATCAATTTTTGACCGAGTTCTGAAACAATTTGTCCACCCGTTTACAAGCTAATCATCATTGCCATAGAGATAAAGCAGGGGCTGAACGAGGGGACTTTTGATTGCGGTTATCTCGAAACATGTCGAATTCCCGACAAAAATGATAGCGACCATTTTTGTAGATAATGATAAGATCTTTCTTTTTTATCTAAACAAAAATTCTCTAGTTTACATATTGTGGAAGATATTGGCGGGAAACCAGTTTTAGGGTCCTTTCCGACGCAGCAGAGTTAGTAAAAGTTTTCGCCCTTGAAAGCAACCGTCAAGACCTAAGAATTGAGCCACAAAGGAAATCTGGACCGACTTAATGACAGCTGTGCATATTTTCAGGTCTTCAGTTACTGGATTATTATTACGAAACTAGTATTATTTTGTAAAGACACTATTAAGAGGCATATTATGTATCTTATTTATCAGCAAAAAGAAAAAAATTACAATATTGAAAAATATCTTTAATATAATTGATATACTCGTATTGTAAGAAAATAATGGTCCCAAATGAGAACCCCTGGGGGATACGTCATATTGGATGAACTGATTACCATCAATCATCATTTGAACTTTTTTTTTAATGGCTTTCTAGCTATGTAAGAAAAGCATCAGAAAGGCCAAGCTTTTCTAAATAGCAATAAAGCGTGATTAACAGGATCAATTGCTATACTATCATAAAATTTAGAAGGATTAATTTTTTGATTGACAATTAAATTGGTAACTGTAGATATACCCGCAGTTAATCCATGTTAATTAAATCATTATATTGCTGCAATACCAAGGACTGATCAAAATATTTTCGAAAAGCTTTGCTATGATCCACAAATACAGACCGGTCTGTAATTCTGTATAGGTATCATACCTTTTACCAGTTTTAAATACAGGAGAACAACACTTACAAGTTCTAAATGCCAGTTGTACAAAGAATGCTGTAAATTCAGCTCTAGCTAACAAAAGTGTCATTTTTAACTGGTTAGATTCAAAGTGCAACTGTCATTTTTAAAACTAACCAATTATACAACGCGGTTCACAGTTTAAACTAAGTTTACCTTTTAACTGCCTATTGTACAACCCGCCCTAATTCCGTAATCATCGTTTTTTATAATTCATTCACCCTTCAAATACCTATAATAAACCAATAACAAGTATTAGAAATTAAAAATTTAAAAAAACCGACTTCAAAAACGTGCTGATGCCGTCACATCTTAACCAAATTTATATGGGACCACCCCTGTGGTATCCCCTTACTAACAAAAAAAGAATCATAAAACGGACAAGGTGGTAAAGCATTATCGCTAAACATACATAAAAAATGAAGAGTTTGAGGATTTTCTCACAAACCCAATTATTATATTTTGACCAAATTTATATGGGACCACCCCTGAAGTACCCCCTTTCTAACAAAAAAAGAATTATTGAAATCGGACACCGTGCTGAAGAATTATCGCTGAACATACATAAAAAAAAAAAAAAAATATCGCGACGACTTGATAACCTCCTCCTTTTTTGAAGTCTGTTAAAAACTAGGTTATATTGATGAATGAATATTCTTTACAGGCAGATTTGCTAAAAAAGAACGCCTCAAAGTTGGATTTTGGACTCGATTTTTACACGGACGTATTAAATTTAGACTATTTGCTGGAGATGTTAGATGATGGACCTTTTACCAAAAAATTTAAGAAGCTAAATGGTGCATTGGTGGGTCTAATCCAAGATTACAGTTTGGTTGGATTCGTTCTACTTGATGCGAAATCTGATAGAAGCTTGTTGGAGCTAAAGAGCGCTGTAGATAAGGTAAGATTATTTTATTAGAATTGTTTGAAGTAGTCTCTTTTGTACCAGATTTGGTAATAGTGTGTATTTTTTTAGGCAAATGGTTATATTTATGGTAGCGGTGAAGAAAGAAGCATTCAAACATTACTTTCTTGTGCTGTGGGGGCTAGAACTGAATCAGAACGATTTGATTCTGATTACATGTAGTTTAAATTAATTTATGATTGTTTTTTATTGCAGTTGTCATTTTTAATATAACCTTGATATATATTTGTTTGTTTTATTCAAAACGACTGATTAGTAATAAATATCATTGGATAGAAAATAGCTGACAAGTGTGACTTTGAAGACTGTTTTGAAAAATTGTAGCAAAGGGTAAGTAAATTAATATAAACCAGATACCTCATAACAACCTTTTCCCTAGTAAATTGAGAAGACGTAACCTACTATTAAAAAAAATGTGAAAAAGATCTAAAATTACCTGCTAAGATTATTCAATAAATTGATGATTAATTATTAGGTACAAAAGTCCCATTTCTAATAGATATAATTTTTCAATATACAGTAACAGTAGGTATTAAAAATAAGTTAAAAAAAAACTGGTTTTTAATGTTTTATTCAAAAAAATGATAATTAAATATATGGAGAATTAAATAGAACCATTTTATCTAATTTAATACATTTACAAACTTGCATTCACTTCATTTTGCTGATGGATTGGCCTTTTGTTTCTCCAACTGTGCCCTAAAAATCGAAAATATATTTTTGTATTCATAAAACTAAAATATTTATTAGTAGGTGTATATAACACAAAATTTGCTTCTTTAAACTCAATATGCTGAACAGCATAAACAAATCAAAAGTAAGTACCTATTTACTAACAAAATGTGAGGTTTTAACATCAAAATAGACCAATTTTCTGCAAATGTAAGCGATTGCGAGTATAATATAGCTCATAGTAAAACTTGATTTAAGCCTGATGTTAAATCCAGTGCACTCTTTTCTGATAATCATTGTGACATTTACCAGTGGTAGAAAACTAGACCAAATCAAATTAAAGTCTGTTGTATCTCTTGAACCGCAGCAAAAGTTTCCTGACCTTTACTTTTTGTTGTACAAGTGTTAATTTTAATATTATTTTTGTAGCAATTATTTATATTCTTTCATCAGACTAGCTAAAATATGTTGATAACTTTTTAGATACATTTACAGGTTGTGAGGTTTAACATTCTCAGTAGGTTTTGATTGTCGGAGATTTTAACTATGAATTTTGTTTTAAACAATCCTGATGATGTCAGTCCATTTTAAAAACACAATATTGTTCGCAATAATTATGGTTGTTTACTGGGCCTGGTAATAAGTAATAAAATATTAGAATTTTGTGATATTTTTGGTTGTAGTTTATATATATTAAAATACAAAACTCCTGCATATCTTCAATTTTGATCAGCAACATCTATTAGTTTTAACTATATTATCTTTCTTTTGCAGATTTATTTCTTTATTCACTTTTTTGCATTTCTTTTTGTACCCACTAATAATGCATTTATATTAGTTAATACTTGCTCTGTAAATGGTTTGTACAACAATAAAGACTATTATTTGGCGAGTACCGAAAGAACACTTTTCTGCATTGGTGTGTCTTTTAACTAGCGTTTTGTATATGCTCGAAGACAGAAGGATAGTTAAAGACACATCAGAGCTAAAAGTGTATACTTTCTGTACTCGCCTATTATTATATATTTATAAAGTTAAATACCTTAACTGTTTGTTAAAATCGTCTTCAACGTTATCATCCTCCCAATTATCTTCCCACACGCTGATATCCTGATCATCCTTTTCCTTTCCAGACCAATCTGCAAAAAACAGTTTTTTAGCAAACTCATTACTTTTGTGTACTAACCTCAAAATCGCACCTTCAACTGGAAATTCCTCGAATTCGTCGTCTTCTTCGAGTACTCCAAGATCTAATTTTGGTTTTTCAGACATTTTGATGAATTATTTCTTTAATTTAGATAAATAAACGGCCAGTTTTTGGAAAATAATTTAAAAAATTGATTTGTAACCACCGTTTTCCCAAAATTATTTTGTCTTGACAGTTGACACTAACAAATGACGTATTTAATAGCCATTCGCCTGTTAACTATAGATTGCTCACAGCCGGTCGCCCATATTGCCTCATAATTTGCCTGTTCATTTCTATCGGTTTTGCAATGTTTTAAAACCAAATTTCAGCTTTTGAATGTATTAAAAAAATAATTTTCTACATTTTTACTTCATGGCAGTGGCCCTATCTTTATATAAATATATTTAGCATGGACCCTGTCAATTCCATTGTTCCATTTGGCAACCATTTCAAAAGGAATTTACTACAAAACTATTACAATAGTTTACCTTTTCACTACCTCTGCCATGGCAAATCATAAAACATATTTAAAACTTTAATTTCCAATTATTTCTTTTGATACACAACTGTTTAAGTTGCGCTCCTGTAGATGGCAAAAGAGTTACTTATTTAAAGAGACCTGTAACAATTTCGTATCATTGCAAACAGAAATCTGTAGCATTATCTTAGTAATTTTTTTTATCTCAATAGATGGCGGAGTAAAAACGGTTTATTGTGTTAATTTGAATTATTCGTTAGTCTATTAAAATTGATATATTTGCGGGAGGAAAATAGTATTTGATGAAGAATGAGGATATTAAAATGTTTTTTTGTTTTGCGTAATTTTTTGTGTACTAAATGATTCTAAAATGAGTAATTTTCTCTATAAAAATTTAATAATATACACCATTAATTATTATTAAACAAATCTGTATTAATTTAAACAGTTTAAGTAAATAGTATTATTATTCCTCGGCACAGTTTTCGACATTCTTTAAAATAATAATTAATGACCTTAGGTAGGTATTTAGATTCAAATTCAAAAGGCGTTTTGAATTAAAACGTCACGTCGCCCATTTAATGTTGATTTTCTATACACCCGCCCAAGGCGAGTGTTTGGTATTCCAAAATAGTTTAAAATTTTAATTAAAGTATAAGGTTTTCTGTTTTCCTAAGTACACAGATCCGAAAAAGGGAATGAAAAGGCATTGGCGTGTTTATGATTATTATCTAAGGGAAATATATTGTGGTCTTTATTATAATGTACAAAGAGCAAATTCAAATTCGTTTCGTTAAAGATAGAAACCTTTAATTTGATATGAAATTTTTAATACCTAGCTTTGTTATTTTTGCCCATGGACGTACCTTTCATATGGGCAAGGTCATGCGGCGCACAACGACGCCAATGCTCAAAAAACAAAATATTACAAAAATATAAAACAGTAGGTATTTAATTAAAAAATGGATTCCTAATTATATATACAGGATGATCCATTAGTGCGTAGAGGTCTTACGTTTCTTTTTTTTTTCTATTAATTTTAATTTATCAATTAAAATATATATATTTTTTTTTAAAAACCATCACTTTTAAGGCTTATATTATAACACCAAATAATAAATAATAAAATAATATAGTAGATGTTCAATTTGCAAGTTGGCGCCCCTGTATAAAATCGTCTGTACATAAAAATAAACTTTTGATCCTTTCAGACGTTTCAATAAACCCTTATATCTTTGTGTTTAACAAATATTTGAATCAAAAATATACTCCAAAATATTTAATATTATCATAATTTTCAATTTAGATGTTATTATATTGACATTTAGATTTTGTACATTAATATTTTGATAGCTTTTTCAAAATTTATATGTTTAGTCTTTGACATGCATCAGAAGATCATATACAGAAAAAACTATTTAACGCGATGTACAGATCTGCAAAACATTGTTACTCAGACAATAATAAAGTAATAATTAATGATAGATTGTTGATTGTTTACATGCAGAATAAACAGAATTGGATCAAAAAGTATTCTTAAGGTAATCCCATGTTATTAAGTAATTCAAATGAGTAGAAGTTTCGTCTTAAGTTTTTTATTTAGGGTTATACTTTTTATTTAGGATACTCATAATAGCTCCCTCTACAGTTCGCAGTAAATTAACACCAAATAACTCGCAATCTATAATCTGGATTGTTTTTAACCCCCTTAAGGGGCTGTCCATGTAAAAAGAGAGAGTCGACATACGACCTTCGCAAAATGAGTTCCGTACTTAAACCGCCCAGAGTTGAAAACTTCCCAAAATTAATTATTTAAAATTCCCATTTCTGACAAATTAAGAAGAGAAGGTAATTGGAATTAGTTTAGGAAATTAATATAATTTTTGAAGCCGCCCCGGGGCCGAGGCATTGTATTTTTGGGCCAGTGTCAGAACAAGATGCCTGTGCCTCGGCCCTTTCCACCCCTTTCCGCCCTTTCGCGGGCCGATATGCCCTCGGGACGTGTTGCAGTTCGTAATTAAATACTTAATTAAGGACGTATTTAATTCCGACGGGATATTTTTTGGAACATAAAAATTGCATAGCAATTATTTCATTTCTCATGCTGGAAATCAGTCAGTTTAATATATTTTTCTACGGCTTTAATACAAAACCACACTTTCTCAATCAGAAGTTCGGCACAAGACGAGAGGAGGAAAAGTTTGTTGTCTGAGGACCATTTGTTTTTGTTTTTTTTTGTTTTTTTTTAGAAAATTAAAGCCAAGTGTAGGAGGAAAAGTTTTTTTTGAGGAGTTTTTTTATGTAAGTCATAATTAATAGCAGTTACCGCTTGATTCGCTTCATCCAAGGAGAACGACATGTATAACTGAGTATCAGCCAAATATTTCTTATATGCCTATCAGTTGGGAATCTAAAAGGCAAGCATGAGTATATTTATTTTACTACTAAAGTCCAAGCTAAAGTGTTTCCACTAATAACAATTTTTTGCGATATTATTAACGTTGAAATATCAATAGAAATAAATAATAGTAAAACAAAGATTTATGCTGCGTTTGAATATCCACATCGGATACATCTGAGATGTAAATTTTTGATCACGTGATTCAATATACGTAAATGTAGTAGGACCACATACTTTGATTTTCTTTTACTATACGGAGAATGGTCGCACTGCGCAGCTTTCTGAGTGCCTTTTAAAAGGAGATAGAAAACTCCGCCATTTTGAACCCTTATTACGTGTTGCCTACATCTTGGCGCAATATTTTTAATAGGTGCGTTTTAATCATCCGCTTCTGCTTCGGAATTGTCGGTTTTCTTGTTTTAATTTGACAAGTTAAAACGACTAAACCGACAATTCCGGAAGCAGAAGCGGATGATTAAAACGCACCTGATATTTTGCTTGCGGCTGTCAGTGTCAGTGAATATTATTTTTTGAGTCACAGATTATTGCTAAAGAATCAGTTAGCTCACTCGGACCAGTTGAAAGTTTCAAAATAAGATCCACTCCAGGGATACAAATTTAGGATACGCAGAAGACAGCTGTTTTATTATAGGCGGTTGTTATATATTGTATTATCCGAGTTGCGCAGTGTATAAACTGGAACATTGAGATCAAAAGTGCCGACGCAGAGTGAGCGATCTGATTCTTTAGCTATAAACTGTTGCATAGGGTTCAAAATGGCCGGGCCCTATGTTGGGCTTGTCGGACCTCTCTCTTGCGCCGTATAGTAAAGAAAATCAAAGTATGTGAGTAGGACAGATATGTCCGATATTGATAAACAATCGCTCGGATGTGGATAAGCAAACGTTCGAGATGTAAAAAATGCATCAGATGTGGATATATAAACGCAGCAAATAAATGTGATATTACGGCAAACATTTTTAAATCTACATCACTGAACAATGCAATACATCAACCTAACCTTACTTATGAAAAGACACTTCAGCACTCACATTATCCAATTTTTTCACTATACGAGGCAAGAGAGAGGCCCGACACGCCCAACATAGGGCGCGGCCATTTTGACCCCTGTGACACAGTTTACAGCTAAAGAATCAGATCGCTCACTCTGCGTCGGCACTTTTGATCTCAATGTTTCAGTTTATACACTGTGCAACTCGGATAATACAATATATGACAACCGGCTATAATAAAACAGCAATCTTCTGCGTATCCTGAATTTGTATCCCTGGAGTGGATGTTATTTTGGAACTTTCAACTGGTCCGAGTGAGCTAACTGATTCATTAGCAATAAACTGTGACTTCAAAAATAATATTCACTGACACTGACAGCAGCAAGCAAAATATCAGGTGCGTTTCAATCATCCGCTTCTGCTTCCGGAATTGTCGGTTTAGTCGTTTTAACCTGTCAGATTAAAACAAGAAAACCGACAATTCCGAAGCAGAAGCGGATGATTAAAACGCACCTATTAAAAATATGTAGGCAACACGTAATAAGGGTTCAAAATGGCGGAGTTTTCTATCTCCTTTTAAAAGGCACTCAGAAAGCTGCGCAGTGCGACCATTCTCCGTATAGTAAAAGAAAATCAAAGTATGTGAATTTTTTGCACAAAATGGACTCACTAACAATTTACTGTAAGGCAACGTCGCAAACTATCGATAATATACGTGAGGTATAGTATGAATGAAACAATGTTATTTGCAATTGCGGTGTTGTCACGTTTACCGCTTTTAAAATCCATGCATTTATTTGTAGGCCTATTAATGGTGTTTACCATAGTTTAACTTAGTATTTGCAAAGTTATTATTTAGCAGGCGTATGTATGTAAAAACGATAGGTATAAAAATGCCCTGCATAATAGTTTAAAAATAGGTATTGCTAAAATATCAAGTCTGCTGAAAGCACTTAAAAGAGCTTAATGTACTCATTTTATACGTTTTCTGTTTCGTTAAGTTATTTTATTTAGAGACTTACTATTAGAAATGTTTCGGGAAATATCGCAGCAACTCTGACCACAATGCGTCGGAGTGGAAAATTCTGTACTAGGTACAAAAATGAATAGGTGGGGATGCTTAATATATCGCAATATATCTTGAATATATTCTAATTAATAAAACTTGTTGCTATTAGTGAGTTATAGGTAAATACTATTTATAAATATGAAAAGGATAAACTATACAGCCTGGCAACAGCGCACCACGCAACGCATGTCGGTTCTTTTACGAATTTACGAAAAAAGCTCAAGCTGCCACACATAATTTGTTACCGCTAAAATCCAAAGAAAGGTACGAAATTACCTATCGAAAATTTATGGATTGGAGACACAAGCATAACGTTAAATCCTTTTTTGAGAATGTTTTAAGTGGGCGTAGATAAGGTATAGTACGTTACACGAGTTGTAATGGGTTACTTACAACTCCTGTTACGTAATATACTAATATATAATAAATAATGGGAAGCCATAACACAAAAATACTAAAATATAAACTCCATCATCTAACCACTGCCTTATTTTTGTGCCCCAGATCATTTCTGGCGCGTACCCTCCATTTTCAGTTTTTCGGGGCCTTCTTGCCCCCGGACATTGTAACGAACGGTCTAATAAAGAGAGGGATCGTTCCTAGGAAACACGAAACGGCGAGCCCGTCAGGAAAGGCGAAAACGCCTGAGGACGCTTCGGCGTCGATTGTCTAGCGCCTCGGGCGTCCCGGCTCGTATCCAGCCCCGCGGGCGTACCGGCTTTCAACCGTGCCTGAAACGCCAGTGGCGGTGCGGCCCCTGAATACCCGCGGGGTACTTCTTTAGTCTCTAGCTGGGTGGATTGTGTACTCGTATGTATGGATTATTCTTGTCAATGCAGCTGGCGTTCCGTAAAATTATTTTTTCTTCGATAACTATAGAAAACTATTTTTTTATTACAGCTTACTTGCGTCGAAAGTTATTTATTTTTCATAGTGGGAGTAATAGTTGTTAGAAATGATTTCTAACAGCTCGTCTCAAAAAACCTGCCGAGATAATATGAGGGGTCTAATATCAAAGTGTTTTATAGAAAATGAGATAGATGTCGTTTTGTATGCAATTTTTAGCGCTGAATTCAAATAACTCACTAGTTCTTAGCAAAATGGTCAAACTCAAGTGTATTTTTAGACATGAAAATTACATTTAGTTTCAAAACGTACAATCTCCTTTGTCGAATAAGATTCAAAGTGTACAATATCCCAAATGGATTTTTTGTGTCAAAGTGTACAATCTCCACGTTTACGAGTTAGCTTATCGTGATTTGTCGCTAAAAAAACGCGCCAAATACCATGTGCTTTGTACCTATGAGTGACCACGAAATTATTATCAGTTGTATCAAGTTAATCTAGCCGTACGCACGCTGTTTATCATAGTTAGCTGAGTTCGTCGTTTCTGTATACTTCGTGTGAAATTTAATACAAAAATAATGGAAGTTAATATAACTCCCATAACCGATAATAAAGCCAGAAAAAGAAAACGAAATACAGAAGAATGGAAGAGAAGCAAGCAGAAAAAACTACGGTAGGTGTTAAAAGAGTTTAATTTTCTTTAAGAAAACTTAGGGTACCCATTTTTTTGAGGTATAGACCGCATTTGCTTCCAGTTTACCCAACTTGTGGACACAAAACATCTGCATTTCAGTGTACCTCCCTTACTATATTCCAGGACAATTTTATTTTGAAATATTGTAAAACCGTTCCTGTAAAGCGTAAACGACCAAAAAATTCTCGACATACCGAAAAATTGTTCCAAGCCCAATTTTACATCTTCACTCAGCAAAAGCGTGCTTTGCCTGTTTGCAAACAAGCTTTCCAGGAAGTTTTGTGCATAACTAGAAGAAGAATTGACACTGTCACTAGAAACTTTTTTAATACCTCTCTACCAGCAAAGGAAAATCGCGGAGGCGACAGAAAATTGGAAAGCAACAGGGTAAAGAAAGATTCAGTTATGAATTTTATAAACAAATTTAAGGCAATTGAGTCCCACTATTGCCAAGGACAAAGCCAACGCTTATATATCGACTCCTCTTTGAACATCAAAATGATGTGGAGAATGTACATGAAGGAAAACGTCAACATTCCAGTAAAAGAGAGTTATTTTAGACTCATTTTCAATACCAACTATAACCTAGGTTTCGGCACATCTAGGACTGACGTTTGCTCAACATGCTTGCAGTTGACCGAAAAAATTAAAAGTTGCAAGGATCAGGATACCAAGGCCAGCCTATTAACGGAGAAAAGGGTACATAAAATGAGGGCACAAGCATTTTTTAATATTTTAAGGGTATCTGAGGAAGGTGTCATGATTTTTTCCTTTGATTGTCAAAAAAATCAGGTTCTGCCAAAAGTTCCTGATCAGCAAGCTTACTATTCCAGACAAATTTACATGTTTAACCAAAGTATATTAACCGTTGAGTAGCGACATAAAGCGTCGGTGTCTTTGATCTTGGGTGGTGCAAGTTTTCTTTCTCTCTCGTTTGACGTTATTGACGGAAGGACACACTAAAACACTGCTCGAATTATGAACTGGTCTTGAATGTGATGTTTACACTGCTCGACGTAATTTGAAGTAAAACTCTTTTGTAGTTTACATTTATAATAAAGGTTTGGTCATTAGGCAGTTTTATATTTATGAGTATTTAACTTATGTAGTAAATATAAAAATATATATCATTATTGATAAATTTCAATTTTTTTACCTACGTCCGGATGAGCTAGAGACTTGAAAGTTGGTAGGTTCACAGGGTTTTGATTTTTGATAACAATAAAAATTATTACTTATGGACCTTCTTATATATTAATCGAGTTGTCTCAAACTTTAAATTTCGCGTTGTTTAAACATGTCGCTGAATACAATTTTTGACTAATAATGTGCCCCGTTACTCAAAACTTTTAATTCACGTTTAAAGTGTTTGACAGAGGTATCTGATTTGACAAGTTATTCATACAACAATATGGAAGTCAGTGTCAAATCTGATGACATTCCGTCTATCATTCTAATTTTTGATAAATCTTACTGTAAACTACGAAAGCGTAGAAGAATCACAGTGAAAAAAATATATAATTGACACTTGACAGTGATATCTGTCAATTTGTGCTAATTTTCACTTACATCTGTCAATTAGGTCTAATTCCCAGTTCTAGCTGTCAAAAATTGCACTAAAAAGTAAATTGAATGGACAGATCTTTATTTAATTAAACAAAAAGAATTAGTTCTTTTGTCAATGGCACATATATCTTTGAGATAGTGCAGAGATGATGGTTTGGTTTAAATCAGGCAAGATTACTGGGTACCTACTTGAGTGCGTTAATTCGTTTACGAATATTTTTTAGCAGTTATTTGTCAGGTTTACATATTGTTCACTTTTTAGTGCATATTTTTCCATGTTAGTGTGACGACCTTAATAAAATCGTTTATTTTAGAAGATTTTAATTATTTAATTTATTTGGTTCTAATTACATATCCCCGAAAAAATAATGAATTTTGGCATAATGAAAAACCCACAAAAACAATAAAAGAGAACAACAACGAATTCCTATATCAGCTGCCGGACTAAAGTGAAAGGGGTGTTTAAATCTTTAGAAGATTTCTATTTCGCGTCGGCGCACTAGAATTCGGTTCCCCAGCTGTCGCTACTCAACGGTTAATATACTTTGGTTTAACTTTATTGTTGTGAAAGGCACTTCTAGAAGCCAATTAAATCCCAATACAGTAACCTCTTTTTGTTAGACTGAAAATGAATACAACAAAGGCTCAAATGAGATTGCTTCCTGTATCTACCATGTTTTGGAATCGTCGGATTTTACTGATATTCATACTATTGTCACGAATTGCATTTAAAAATAATTAGATTTTTATTAAAGATAAAATAAAGTACTTTCCAAAAATATATTTCAACTTAAATTTTAATAAAGCCATTTCCAAAAACATAATTTTATTTCAATCTTTTTAATTTCCATTCAATTCCAATTTGTGTTTAATATTACATTTAAAGTTATTTAAAACAATAACAATCTTTTCGTCTAGTAATTAAAAACTTTATTTTATGTTGAAAATAAACAATGCACTCAATTCGGTTATGCTGATTCTACAATTTCAAAACAATGTTAGGGTCAGCTAGCCAAATTGACAAAACAAAAAATAACAACATTTTTGGCACAACCGAGGCTATAAGTTCCTCGGCTGTGACGAAAATCGGGAGTAGGTAATACTCTGCTGTATTACAGCAATAAAAATAAAAATAAAAAATAAAGTCGTGACATGCCAGCTTGCTGTTAAAATATGTGGTAAGGTTTTTTATAAATCTAATAAAATAAAATAAAATAAAATAAAAAAGGTATTTCTGAGAAAAGTAACTAGTTGGTTCTTTAAAGTCTTTATAGTGTAGATATATTGTATATTTGGGGTGTATTATTATATTGGGGATTTCTGGACAGTTCAGGGGATTTTAGTTTGTATTTATTAAAGATTTGTAGTTTTTTATGCAGTGACTTTTATTCCTTCCCAAGTAGCGTAAAGCCAAGCCAAGCGTAACAAATCATAAGAAAGGTTCTCCAGTGAGTATTTTCGGGTGGCGCAAAGATCTTCCTCAACTGGAAGATCGTTTGGGCGATCCGAAATACGCAGTGGCGTACCCCACGATTAATTGGTTTGCCTAACAAGCCACCTAACGTGACACTATTAAGCTCATGTGTGATGGTTGCGCGGGCCAGAATAAAAACACTACACTAATTACAATGTGTAGCAACTAGCTTGCCAAACAAGATGCAATTAATTTAAAGATTGAAGTTATATTCCCAGTCGGAGGACACTCTTTTATTCCTCCTGATCGAGTCTTTGGTAACATTGAAAAGGAGTGCAAGAAGAAGGAAATTATTTTAGAACCCCAGGAATATTTGGATATTTTTTCAAAATATGGGACTGAAACTTGAAGGATGTTCAAATTTACGACTGGAAAACTGAAACGAGCAAGTTTATTAAGCCTCCAGGACAGTGGCACTTTGCTTTTGCCAAAATGAAAAGGATTGCAAGAAACTCAAAAGGCGCAGTGTTGGTCCGTGGTGAAAGCGCGTATAATACGAATAATGGAATGGGAAAACCTGTTACAAAAAAAACAAAGAACCTTAGCAATATGAATCCCACCAAAATTCCAATGCGGAATGTTCTCAACACCCTTAAGAAAACTGATGTAAATAACCTACTAGTTGCTCATTATGGAGAAGAGTGGAAAAATGATCCCGTTTTATTTTTTTTACAAATTTGCCTTAGAGGGGGATGCAATTCCACTAGGATGCGTAATAATAGCCTATAGTTTCCGTTAAGATACATCTATAGTTTCCGTTAAGATATATCTACATTTTTTAGTAAAGGAAATACATAAAATCAAACAATATTATTTTTAAATAATAGTTTATTAAATACAGCATAATAAGTAATATTTTACAACAGTTTAATAGTCGATCCGTCAACGAATTTAAAACGGATCACAGCCGGTTAGATCTATATAAAAAAGTTGACTTTTGCATGTTGCCTTTAACGCCTCACAACTTGAATATCTTCTAAAAAATATGTTTTTTGAACGCATCAATCTCCATATTAACCAGACATAATTTCTAATATTCGTCAGCCACAATATTAACCGGATTTGACCTCATGCAATTTATTTTATAAGTCACCGTATTCGCAAGATATCGCGGTTAGGTTTAAACGTTAGCTGATAATTTTAAACTGTGAAAGAGTGCAGGTTCAATTTTTAGACATCAAAGCGAGAGGCGAAGAAAACAAAACACAAAACTTCACTATTTTCTTTTGAGATCAGCAAAAATTGCTCTTCCATTTATATATAATTTTTTGTTAACAATTACTGTACAAATTCCATTTTCATTCACACATCTACTGATTGTCTGTGCTTGGGGCACACGTCCATCAGCCAGGTAAGACTTTTCTGATGAACAGATATTCAGAAAATTGTTGGCCTTCCACACCGCCCCCGTTGCTGGCCGCTATTTGAAAACCCGCGTTCAGAAGCCGTGTGATGACCTGCATGGAGTTGAGTTTGCAATAACCGTTCAGGGGAAATCTAAAACGAAATAAACCCAATATTAAAGTTAATTAACCTACATTCCTTGAATTCACGCAAATTTCAGCCACCTTATTTTCCGGAACTAACACCTGTGATTTTTTTTTAATTCATCTTTACAACAATCTTAATTATTTGTTTGTGTACATGACTCATTTGTTTTTTTGTATAAAAATTACATGTATTTATAATATCATCATGATAATAATTTGTATGTTTTGCACAGTGTACAAGGAATTTATTAAAAAATTAAATTTGATATGGTCAATGACCTGCACATTTTGCACTCTCAGTTACCTACTACTTAAAAAACAATTTGCCTACCGAATGACATGATGGGCGTCCTGTTGGTTCCAGGCCACTCCTGACCTGGCGTCCATAACGGCTTGATTCGTCTCTGGAAAAACCTCGTCCAGTAAAGATCTATCACCGGACAACATGATTCTTTCGCCTAGATCCGGACTGACGTGCAGAGCCACACACTCGTACATATCTTGGCCCAATCGGTTGTTCTCTAAAGGCTTATGATATTGACCAGATCCGTCTCCACCCGAACCAATTTTGTGAGGTAGTATGCCGTTTTTTATTCGTTCTTTTTTTAACTGCTCCAGATGTCTAACCATTGCTGTAAGAACATTCACTCCATAAATAATATAAGTTAGGAGAGAGATAATATACACTTTCTTCCTGATTTAAAAAATATTTACTTACGGGTTATATCGAAATATTTCGCTTCTTCCAAGAGCAAGTCTAAATCCTGGAAATTATCGGGAATAAGCAACCTGGAGTTCCTCATGAAGTTGAGGATGTGTCTAAACATACCGCCATCTCTGTCGATGAAGTAGTGTTGTTTTAAAGAGTCCAAAACGATCGGTATGCTGCCGTTGAACAATTTGGCTAACCTCGATTCTGGATATCTGCAAGAAAGAGCAAACATTTAATATAAAATCTATGCAAAGTAAGATCTTCACAAAATATCTTTGATAAAACTGTCTGACTTTCAAGGTGGCACTACTGACAAGACTCTAGGGAACTGAAAACTGTTGTAGTGTTACAAACGCCCGAGAGAAACGGAAATAATAAGTTTTTGTAAATTATTTTTGTATCGAAATGTCATTATAGGTTTGTCAAAATTTTGTTTCTAATTTTAACCTGGAAATTACTCATCTCGCTCACTCACAGTTAATAACAAAGTGTTATAATTATGAATACTAGATAGTCTTCATAGTAATAATCAGAGATATAATCTCTGGTTATAATAGAACCACATACTTTGATTACTATACGGTGCAAGAGAGAGGTCCGACATGCCCAACATAGAGCGCGGCCATTTTGATGCATTTACCACAGTTTAAAGCTAAAGAATCAGTTCGCTCACTCTGCGTCGGCACTTTTGATATCAATGTTCCAGTTTATACACTGTGCAACTCGGATAATACAATATATGACAATCGCCTATAATAAAACAGCAGTCTTCTGCGCATCCTGAATTTGTATCCCTGGAGTGGATGTTATTTTGGAACTTTCAACTGGCCCGAGTGAGCTAACTGATTCTTTAGCAATAAACTGTGACTCCCAAAATAATATTCACTGACACTGACAGCCGCAAGCAAAATATCAGGTGCGTTTTAATCATCCGCTTCTGCTTCCGGAATTGTCGGTTTAGTCGTCTTAACCTGTCAAATTAAAACAAAAAAACTGACAATTCCGAAGCAGAAGCCGATGATTAAAACGCACCTATTAAAAATATTGCGCCAAGATGTAGGCAACACGTAATAAAGCATCAAAATGGCGGAGTTTTCTATCTCCTTTTAAAAGGCACTCAGAAAGCTGCGCAGTGCGACCATTCACCGTATAGTAAAAGAAAATCAAAGTATGTGTAATAGAACACACAAACAAGAAATCAGTGTAGCCAACACATAATCTATTTATGATGACAGCCAGCAAAAATATGCCGTCTACTTTCAGTTCGATACCACGTCACTGCAACATCTCCATGTGACATTTCCAAGACTTCATCAAAAAGAAATAAAGAAAACACCCAAAAATGTCCGAACACCGACCAGAAATCATAAAACACGTGAAGCAACTGGAAAACCAAAATAATAAGTTACGAAAACTGCTCGGAACCGCTTTAGAAGTAGCCGATAAAGATTATTGTTCCTTCACCAGATTAAAACTGGAATCTGAAGTGTTGGCAGGCGAAATGAATGAGTTGCAGATGGAGAAACATCAATTAGAAGACACTATTGCGGCTGTTATATCAGAAGGCTCCGATAACATAGATCACACAATCTATAATTTAGAGAAAGAACACGTAGAACTGCGTTCTAAACTAGAAGAGGTACTAAACGAAATACGTAAAGGAGATCTAGAAATAAATCAACTAAAATCTGAAGACGCAGAGTTAAAGAAGACCATTGCAAAATTAGAAGACGAAAAAAGTGTTCTCTTAGGACAACTCAAATCGGAAATAGGTTGTAAACTGAACGCAACATCGAGTTTAGGACAAAAACAAGAACTCAAAGAGGAACATATCAAGAGGCAGCCAAAATTCATTAAATCAGTCGGCGGACCAATAAGCTTGGTCGACATGATCAAAGATAAATTATACGTCGAACTGCAAGACACTATATCAAAATCATCAGAAGAGATAAACCAGATAAAAGGATCACTATCTGATCCTGATATAACGAATTTAATACAAGAAATAGAAACGCAGAAGAAGATACTGTTAAACAATTTAAAGTTGTTGAAATTAAAGGAAGAAAAAGATTCAACCCCCGACGAGCCTACAACCAATTCCAATACTAATCTACCACCTTTACAAAAATCTTCAGAAATAGAAACGGCTGCTGTAGATCTTGGTCCAACAGAAGAAAACAGTGCGGAAAAACCATCTACATCCTTCGATCAATCGAAATTAGATGAACTAGTATCTAAACTGGAAAACGAAAGAACTTTTTTACTAAAACGCTTGCATTCTATCTCAGAAACTTCCGCGCAACAGTTTGAGGAGCGGCACCTTCAAACTCAAAGCGAGTTACATAGCACGTTCATGAGAGAAGTATCTTCAGAAGAAATCACCGATGGGCTAAATAAAAGATACGATGACGCTACCAATCAGATGTACGCAGACGAAGAGGCCAGATTGGAGCAGAGGATTAGAGAATTAGAGGCCGAGAACGATAGGATTAAGAAGGAGTTGGATGCGTTGACCAATCAGATTAGAGGAGAGACTGTAATCGTACCGCAAAATATTATTTCTATTCAGTTGAAGGAAAAAATAGCAGAAATGGAGAAGAATGAGTCGATTTTGATGCCCAAGCAGTGATTCTATGTATTTGTTAATAACGATATTAAAGCGGTTGATGAGTAGATTGATGTTGTTTTATTGTTTAGTTTCTTAGTTGGTTTTTCAAGTTTTTACCTCTGAAGTTCAGTTGATTTTCCTTAAGGTTTGTTAATAACTCTTAAAATTAAACATAAGATAAAATAAAAAGCAATTCAAACTTTTGAACGTTTTTTTTTATACTATTTTCTCTTACAATATAGTACAAGATTCAATACCAGTCCGAATTAGTCTAAACTTCGAATTTTCTCTTCTAATAGCCTCGTGGATGTTCATCTGCGAAGGTGAATTAGAAAAAGCATTTAAAATTTTATCCAACGCCTCGTTTTCATCGTTAGTAGGCGATCCGATATCACTCATCTCGTCTATCATCGTATACTCAGCTTTATCTTCTCTGTTACTATTCAAACTGTTCAACGTTAACCTTAATTCAGCCTTTTCAGTTTCGATTTCGAGTATCTTTTTCTGTAGATTGGAATACTCATCAGCTATTTGCTTTCTGGAACGCTCCAGAACGATTTGCAGTTCGCTCAGTAATGTCGTTCGTTCCTGTTCCAGCTCTAAGACCTTGGTGTACAAACTTTCGTACTCTCTTTTAGCAACGGTATCGATAGCATTGAAGACGACTCGTTCTATTTCTTTTCTGTTATTTGGTGAAGGTTGTGGTGAGTTAGATTGCGGAGATGTGATGTCTTCGATAGCGTGGAGTAATTCGGTTTTCTTTCTCTCCAAACAGAATATCCTTTGCTGTAAGTGGTACCTGGAAATTGGAATAGGTTAGGTTGGGTTGAAAATGAATGAATAATTCTAGATTCCGTAAGAATGTGTAGTTTATTTCTACTCCCTTTACGAATCTGAGCAGAGGTGTTCATAGGAGGGTTGTGGGTTAGTCTAGGGGGCCATCTCTGCAGTACATAAGTGCAACACTCTCCAGTTTCAGTTTAATTCCTTTTGCAGTTATGTTTGCAATTTGCAATGAATGGTTCTGGTCCAATGAACTTTATTGGAGCTCGGAGCCTTAAGAGTTGCCTGGTTATTTGAAAATAATGTTATAGTCTCGTTAGCAAAAGGAAGATTAATCAACTCCCACGATCCGAATTCTATAGCGATATTTACTGGTTGAAAGATCGTGGCCAGTTTTGGAGTCTCCCGTGTACATTGCATAGTCTGGGAGAGGGAAATGCCTCCCTTACTCTATTCGTCTCTATCTGGAATTAGGACGAAGTAGGATTTTTTTATGCTGTCGGAGAAATAGTCTTGAAAATAAGATATGTAAAATGGTTAGATATAAAGGGACGGTAATCTGGACTGTTAAGACTTGCTGGAACTCTTTTTTCAACAAGTTTGCCCTCGTTATCCTAATAACCAATATTAAAAATATCTCTACATTCGATGACCCTGTCTCGCAGTACCTGGTACTTAGTTTTACCTTTCACACAAAAAAATTAAATGATAATTAGTACCTCTGTTCCATGAGTGAGACGCTAGCGTTTTCAGCTACTGTATTATCCAATAGTAGAATGTTTCTTAGCCATTCTGAGTTGGAATCAGGTTGTGTTAATAAGAATTTAAATTCAGAATGTTCCAGCTTCAATTTACTAACATCCCTGCTGGTTTTCTGAGCTTCTACTAGTAGAAGATCGACTTTCTTCTTCAATTCGATGTTTTCAGCTTCTAACTGCTTTATAACGATCAGCAAACCATCCGTTTCTGACTGTTTAAAATAGTCGAGATCTTCTTGTAGTTGGGATTTTTCGTTTTCTATGAGTTTGATTGTTTGAGTTAGAAATTCGGATTCGTCTTTATGAATTTCTGGTTTATATACAGTCTGTTTCGTTATTTCTAATGCGGAATCTAGCAGGGATTTGAATCGGACGTTTTGGTTTTCCAGTAAATTTACTCTGTTCGTTAATTTTTCTATTTCATTTTCAATTTTCATTGTCATTTTAGCAGGAAAATGGTTTCTATACAAAATACATAATAATTAATATTGAAATTGGAAATTAGATTGACAGCTGCGTAGTCGGGTGACAAGTAAATGTCATTCGTGAATATAAGAAAATTATAGATTTATCAGGGATTCTCAATAACTATGCACTACAATATTATTGCAAAAAATTATAATAATTTAAGAGCTTAACTTTAAAACGCTTTAAATCCCAAATTTTTCAAAAAAGATGTTTGCATAAAAATCAATTAATATATGTATACTAACTCTAATGATATCAAAACGTACCAAAATTGTTACAAAACTTCTGAATCCAACATAAGTTCATAATCTAAGCCTCCTTGGCAAAAATGCAACATTTTGATTGAACATTGATGCCATTATAGTGTTATTAACATTAGTTGTGCAAAATTCATTATCTTCTTAAACTTATTGGAAAAAATTGTACATTTGACAACAACGCAAGCCATTTTTGTTTTATGAAAAGTGTGTTTTTGAGTTTTTAAATTAGAATTCAGTGAATAAATAGAACATAATTCTAAAAGTTCTTATAATTCATTAATACGATTGGTTAGGAATCTTATAGATGTAGATTTGAGTTTTTTGGATCTTCATTTAAAAGAAGCATTACTAATTTCTTAATAACACTTAAAAGTAGAGGATTTTTGTTTAATTTAATAAATTAAGTATTAATTATAATCCATATGTGTGATTCCCCACTCGACCATTTTCTGTTGGGTTCTGAATAACAGTGCTGTTCCTAAAGTGGTTCTGAGAAACAGTAACAAAACCTACGCATAATACTAGAATAACTATGCTTCTGACAAAAAAAACACTTAAAAGTACTGCTTGCTCTACTTATATCCCTTTAATCAAATGCATTTTTATGCTCATATTTATAACGGTTACAAAGTTACTTTCTGAGATATCAGCCCTGGGAATTTTAACTGAATCACCCAGTATATAATTAAAAACAGTTCAAAATATTTGCCTAAAGTACTCCAAAGGCATCAATTCCGCACATTTCTTCCTTCATCTAGATAGTACGAGAAGGAATAACAAACGATCGTCTGACAGGCAGGCCAACCGAGAAGGCCATGAATGCAGGGCGTACTTGATAAGCTCCGCAATGAGCATCCGCGAATCGCGGTTTAAGGCGCATTATTATTATCATTATGACAGATAATTGTTTCATAAATTACAGAGAATAAGTACAAATGATGACGTAGAACGCCTCGAGCCTGCGTTCTTGCAGGTAATTAGCGCTTGGGAACGGGCCCTCGGACTATAAGTAGGTTTACAACGGTAAATAACAACCATGAAGATTTCGGACGGATTCATAATGACATATTTTTTTTATGTGATTAATAATCAATTCCATGTTTTCTTTCAAACTAAAAATTAAGAAAACAAGTATAAATTACATTCGAAAAAATTACATTACAACTATTTTTTTGTAAATAAATTTGAATCCACGTTTGACATTAACCTTTAACTTCATTAGGCAACTTTTCATATACTTTCTCGTAAATTCTGTTGCCTAATACCTATTCTGTGCACATGTTTTATTTTTTTTATTAACTATACTTATTTTTTAGCTGAAGTAATAAAGACACATAATATTATTAAATGAATCATCTTTTTACTTGTTTTACAAATCAATATTCATTTATTTAAATCAAAGAATACATTTTTTAATTACTAGCAATACTAGCAAAATCGCCCTTTAGTTCATATTTTAGTTTGCGCTGCCGTTACGCATGGAGCAAATAAAGAAGCCGTAATTTTTTTAAAATTATAATAAAACTAAAACTAGTTCAATTAAGCCACAATTAATTGTCGAGTTCATGTTCGAAAGGTTTACATCCCAGGCGACGCCATTTTTTTTTTAATTGATTTAATAAAAATCATAAATTCAAATATTTGTATTACTAATTTCATAAATAAACTATTTTATTTTAATAGCTTCTAAATTAATTTTTAACATTTTGTAATTTGGATGGATAGTAGAAAAAATATACTGTACAACTATTATTTTAGGTACACGAAAATATTTTATTACTAAAATTTGTTTACAAATTTTTTATTACAAATATTGTATTACAAATATTGTATTACAAATATTGTATTAAAAATATTTTATTACAAATATTCTATTACAAATATTCTATTACAAATATTCTATTACATATTTTATAAAAAAAAGAGTACTAAAAACATTTTATCAAAAACATTTAAATACCTGCAACTAATTAAATACAAATATTTTAGTTAAATATTTTATTACAAATATTTTATTACAAATATTTTATTACAAATATTTTATTACAAATATTTTTTTACAAATATTTTATGAAAATTAATTTAATATCCAGAAATCGCACATCTAAATCCGAAAAATCAGTATATCTGAAAAATAAGTGGCTGACATAATTTGAAAATTCGGAAACAAATCTCAAAAATCCCTCTACGATTTATTAAAACCGTCCCCGAACCCAAACGGTGAAAACACATACTTTGATATTTGAAAAAATGCCTGTCGGTGCTGGGATTCGAACCCAGGCATCTTTGTTCTGTACACAAATTCCCTACGTCTAGACCATCACATTGACTACATATTTCTAGCCGGCAGTTTTATGTGCTAATTTGGACCAATGCAATATGAGTATTGATGCATACCGAGTCCATAACTTTGTTTGCGTCAGTTGAGTTTTCAATGTACCTACGATATTTTATTAAATTTTTATTATAAGTGCTATTATTATAAACATGTATTCCACAAAAAATGTTCCTAAAATAGGCCTTCAATGACAAGGACATTTAAAAGAAAGCAGAATTGAATAACTTTTTCCATAGCCTCTAGAAATATATATTTTTTCATCACTCCATATTATTATTTCTAAAGACAACTCGAATTTCTTGTGTAAACATGGCATATTAAAGCACAATTTTTTCAATTGTAATATGAAAAGCTTGAGGTGAAAACGAATAAAGACATAAAATATAATTTTATTGTATAAATTACGTTTTTATCTCGAGTATAATTTTTTTTCATATTTATTAACCAACAAGGTTATATTTAGCCTTTGGATAGGTTTGGAGCGGATTTTTCTATATAAAAAAATAATTATACGTGTATTTATTTATCTCGTAACGTTTTTTTTTCTTAAAACACGTTTGACCTTTTGCTCTTTTTCTCTCAGGTAAAATTTGTTTAATTGCAAAGTTTTAGTATAAAAAATATTCTTAACTTCATTTTGTTAACAAAAAACGTTTAAATATATAGTAAGTAGTAAGACAATGACTCAAATTCATTCTCACACAGGCTACTGCAGGGTGCAGGGTAACAATATGCATACATTTCTGTTCTTCGATGAGGGTGCTAGACTATAAGCGGCAACGTAACAGGATTTATAGGACGAAAGCCCCACGTTGGGCGCCAATTATATTTTTATATATTAAAAATTACACATAATAGGCATTGTTAAATATCCCTTTTTCTTCTTCATCTCATCTTCCAATATTTAAGTAATTGGATTAGTTAATTTAAGCTTTTTGGAGAACAAACTAAAACTGCTGTTTAATATGGTGGTTTAATTTTCTTAGATAGGAGACTATGAATATTCTTTTTATTTTAATAGATACTGCAGGGTTATGAACTAGTTTTAACGGACTTCTCATTTCGCCTTTGTTTAAAATAAAAACAATTTTCAATTCGTATCGAATTCTTCCCACACTTCTGCTGTCTAATAAACATCAAGTCCGGTACACAGCACAGCAATTGTAAGTAAGCGGCTCCAATGAAAATGCACGTAATTTAGTATGCAAAGGATTCGAACACGCGATAAGCATTGCTAACTACATAAATTAATGTTAACAGATAGAACGATGCAAATATACCTATCATTAATAGACTGACTATCAAGAAATATCTTGTATTTGCGATAAAACCAGATTATGGCTATCACTTAATAATGTATTATTAGAATTGCATCGGTGTATTGTTACACAATAATTAGAATTCATTAGTATTCAACAGTAATCGGAGGAATATTTAACAATGATTTATGGGTTGGTTGATTTTTTAACACTGACAACGCGGTACTAGTGCCAAATGATAAACAATAACTGATTAGTGGTCTAGAACAAGTCATGGAAAGGTGGAAATGTTAAATAAAAATAATCAAAAATAGAGGAAATACAAGACACCATTAAATGAGTGGTGGAACTATATAATCTCATATCAATCAGAAATCTTTAAACATAAAAAGAGTTCGAGGAAAAATTAAATTTGGAGAAAAAACAAATATAGAGTGAAATAATACAACGTGTTAGGGATAACTGCACCAAAACTTTGACAGGTGGCTTGGAAGACAAAATGCAGCAAAATACAGGGTGTCACAGAAAGCTAGGTCGTAAATTACACTAGATATTCTGGAATCCTATATAGGTAAGAAACCTAAGTTACCTATTGTGCAAAAGTATCTGCAAAAGCATCAATTAATCGATTTTTTACCAATATTTCAAAAACTGTTAAACAATTTAGCACTGAAAATAGAAGTGTGGTTTTCTTAAGGTAAAAACAACTTTGTAAGAAAAAAAAAAAGAGAAAACAGTGCACCCCATAATAATTTCATGGGATTTTAAATATAGAATGTAAATGTTTTTCTTAAATTGGTTTTTCAATAATATCTTTAACATCCTTTTGACGATTTTGTTTAAAACTTAGCCAGTATGTTTGTAGTACTAAGACAACATTTTGACACTATAGAATCCAAAGGCACTATATTTGGGAGCGCACAAAATAGAAAAGGTAAATCGACCCATTTTAGAGCCACATCAAATTCTAAACTTCATTTCAGTATTGGAATCATTGTAGTTGTCTAGACTATTCTCTTGCTGCTTTAGCGACAAAGTAGTATAACAAGAGTATTACTTAAACTTGCTTAAAATTATTTAGTCTAGTGACGTCCCAAAGAATGTTTTTTTTAATGAACACTTTGTGTATTAAAAACTAGGCCAAGCAATTACCTCCTTCAAAAGAGATACATTTACAAACACCCTAATCTTTAACGCAATAAGAAAGATCTCAGTTAACAAGGGATACCAGAAGAGAGGAGTTCTATTTCCACTCATGTGGACCATGACCCGTTTTAAATTTGATCATTAAATGGCTTATGAAAACCATGAATCTTAATTTTTGTGTGTCTTAGTGGTTGATGATTTTATATGGGACTTAGACAGAGAAAACCTGTATACGGCATTTGTAAACTATATAAGCAATGTAATAAATGGTAAATTTGCGACTGTTATTTTCAA